TATCCCGGCTATTTTGATTCCGGTGATTACGATTCCAACCGGGCCGAATCGAATTTGGACGAACTATTTGAAAGGAACGATACTGCTCGAATTTTTGTTTTGACCCTGATACTTATTTGAAACACAGCAGACAACAAACTAACTCGCAAATTACGCGCGTCTGTGGGAAATTTTGTCACCGAGTGACGTCAACATTGCATACGATTTACAGCGATTTGGAATCGAAATGTATCGGAATCGCGAACGAATGGAAGGAATCGGTTCGGAGGCCGGAATCGAAACCGTGGATTCGAATCACCAAAAGGACCGATTTAGCATAGATCTACCTCGAATTGCTTCACAAACCCACTTCAAGCCTAAATACACACAGCCCTGCTCCTCGCTAATTCTACAGTGTTTAAGTAGTATCACCAACGGAAGACAGTCATATTTTTCTGCCTGCTTCTTTGAAACATTAATGATTGTTATCGTATAGTACATAGATTTATGAAGAAAATACAAAACTTTTTATTGCAGTCCACATTGTGTTCTGTAGAAATAGCTTGATCACATAGCAAAACTATCATAATTTTTCGATACCATGCATCACGTTTTCATAAAATCATTTGCCTTAAAGTTCTGACTGAAGCAAAAGTGATCAAATTATTTGAGACAGATCAATGTACGTCCCAAGTAGTTAGAAATTTGACATGTTAGTATTTCCAAGAAATCAGTAAAACGACCTACAACTACATAGAGCTTTGTATATAACTATACAATATCACTTGGAAATAGAAAAAATATAGATTTGTTACTCTTTCGCTAATCAACATCCAAATTACACAATTATACGAAACACAATCTAAAATTGTATTAAAACTTTATTGCTTCTCTTTACTTTTTAGGATAGTCACTCGTGATTTTTTCTCTAAACGTCGCTCATTTTCCACGACAGATCAACACGTCGAAAGGTGGCAACAAACAATGATTGGGGTCACACATTTTCTAAATTTTCGAAAATTTCAAAATTTACGAGATTTTCAAAATGTTTACGGTTCTGAAGATTTTCAAAATTTTCGACGATTTCCAAAATCTTCAAAAATGTTCGAAATTTTCACAATTTTACAAAATTTTCGGAATTTTCAAAATCTTCGAAAATCTTTCCAGAATTTTCAAGATTTCCAAGATTTTCAAAATTTCCAAAATTTTCAAGATTTTAAAAAATTTTCAAAATTTTCAGAATCTTCAACATTTTCAGCATTTTCGAAATCTTCGAGAATTTAAAAAATTATCAAAATTTTCAGAATCATAAACATTTTCAGAATTTTCGAAATTTCCAAAATCTTCGAAAATTTCAAAACTAAAAATTTTCAGAATCTTCAAAGCTTTCAGAATCTTCAAAATTTTCAGAATCTATAAAATTATCAGAATTCTCGGAATCTTCAGGATTTTCAAAATTTTCAGAATTTTCGACATTCTGCAAAATTTTCGATAATTTTCAAGCATTCCAAAATCTTCAGAAATTTCAAAATTTTTACAATTTTCGAATTTTTCAATATTATCGGAGTTTTCGAAAATCTTCAAACTGTCAAGAATTTTAAAGATTTCCAAAATTTGCAAATCTTCCAGTTTTCAAAATTTTCAGAATCATCAAAATTTTCAAAATTTTCGAAATTTTCAAAATCTTCAAAAATTTCAACTTTCAGAATTTTCGAAATTTTCAGAATGTCTCAAAATTTTCAGAATTTCCGAAATTTCCAAAATCTTCAAGAATTTTGATAATTTTCGAAACTTTCAAAACTAAATGTGTATTAAATGAGTTAACCAATATTCAACAGACTGTGATTGTCGGCAGTACAAAACGGGGACACACTTGAGTATACGTCAAAATGTGCTGAAATATCGTGGTAAATATTCGTTCCTTTCCAACAACGCAATTCTGATAGTCCTAACGGCCACTTAAAGTGGAGCAGATAAGTTCAGTTTATTGCTAGGCAACATCAACTTGTTAGGACGACTATATTCCGATTATCAGAATTTTGTGGTTGGAAAGAACTGAGCGAAAGCTGACTCAGCTACAGCCCGATATGCCTTCGAAATTCGCTTCGCTTTCAAAATTAAGTCAGAAGGATATCTTATAGATTGTTTATACTATCATTTATGGTAACACCTGTATACGTCTACGTTTTTAACCTAATTTTTAGGTGGAAGTTTTTAACTTCGCCACCGTGTACAGCAGATCTAAGCTGAACCAAAATTACAGGAAAAACAGTGAAGATATTCAACATTTGTCAGCCAGATATCTGACACCCATGGTTAAAAGGCAATTTAAATTTAAGTCAAAAATCGCTAGTAGAGGGAACACTTTTTTCCGACACATTCTTTTGAAAAATATTATTTTTGAGCCATTATTGTGGACACCATCATGTCCAGCGTTCTCAGTTTGTAACCTTGGATTGATGGAAACACATCAATGTTCAACGTAATTTGTCAGTCATTAGATCTGCCGCAAACAGCACGTTGCATTTTTTAAATGACATCTTGACTTGAAAATTATTAGAGTAAAATTATCATTTGGCAAAGTAGCTAAAAATAAATTATATCGGAAATAACAACGATTTACAGTTGCGAATTGTTCACGTCACTTTTTCATACACTAAATTCCTACTGTAGACTAAAAGCATCATTTAGAAAGGATGTTTCGAAACTCACGAGAGATATTATGCATAGTGATCCCGTTATTGCCACTGCAATCCTAATTTTTTATAAGTATGATTTTCTAGGGATAATATACAAATTGTGACAGAAAAATAATGAAACTGGCAACACTGCAACCAATCTGAAGTCATATGCTAGAACAACCGCGGCAATGCTATTCGTGTTGTGATCCCAAAATTCGACGACTGGAGTACCAGTGGTGCTTTAACAGGGTTGCCATGTTGGGGGATTTCCCAAAATTTTGGGTTTTTTCTTTAATACAATGTTCTGGGCGATATCACACGTTTCTCGGATAGAAAGACCACCACGCTCTTTGGACAAACCTATCCCTTTCGATTGATCAACTGTTCTTTGGGGGATTTTTTTAAAGTAGCAGTTCTGATAGATTTTTGTGCTTGTTCTGCGGAAATTATGTCCCAGCCATGCTTTGACAGATCCGGCCAAAATGTGAACCAAGTCCTTGAAAGGCTCAGAAAAATGGTCATTCTTCTTAAAGCAGACACTGCAGATAAATGAATGCTACACCATGTCACACTACCATCTCCATCACAGAATTTTTTATCGCAAAACGCATTCCTGTCGTTCCTCAGGTCTCCGTCGGTGAGTAGTACTGTGAGGACGATAATATGGCTGTTTGAAATAAATTGTTAAATCAGTCTCATTGCTTTTCTGCCAGACCTCGTGCTTGCGAAATATCAAAACGCGACCCTGTGACAGTGCGACAGATCCGAAACTGTAAACAAACTCAACAAATAATTTTCAGTCACATTAAAGCTACAAAATGAACAATCCTTATAAATATATTCTTAAAGATTTGAACAAAAACATAAAATATATTAAAAATTACATGTTTAACAATATGTTAAAATGTATATTTTACTGGTAATAATTTAAAATTTCAATAAATATATCTACGCCCCGATTACCTGTTTCTATTCTCAATTTCACGTCTATGTTTCACCCATTCGTCAACGTTATTGTTGAGAAGGACCTTCTGTTTCAGATTTTTCTTTTTTGTTCGAAGCAGCCTAGGTTTGAAAGGAGCCGTTTTCTCTACGGGGGGCTCGGAAGTCTGGGCGGTTTGCGTCGCAAACTTCATCTTTTTGTTGTCCTGTTCTATGGAGTTCAGGAAATCGATGTTACGCCTTTTCATCGTAATGTTGGCTAGATTCAGTAAAGTTTCGGCACCTTCCTGGATTTTTCTTTCTTCTTCATCCTCGAAGTCTATTTTCCTACATATGCGGCTTTTCGCGAGCCTGCGATGAAAAAAAAAATGCGTCCTAAATGAAATCTGGTAAACGTCGAAGGCAGAAGCCTATCGCGGTTGCTGTAAGGACCTTAAAGACAATTTTTCGTCCGATTTTTGAACTGCTCAAGGTTAATAGAACTGGAAAAATCTCCTCAGGCTGAGCGTCGGATTGACCGTACAAGAAAGAAGGTCGTTAATGTCTAATAGAAACAACGTTGGCACCAAGACCGATCCCTGAGGAACACCCGGGTCGCCACTGTGGAGAGGAGAACCCGTCAATTACCACGGATATCTTGCGGCCAGAGAGGAATTCAGCGACCCATCTCTGAAATAAATGTTATTAATGAAACTCACCTGTCATCTTCGGGCTCCGCGCCAGCAACTGCGGCCGCAGGTTTGTTCATCCTGTAATCCAGGCCGTTTTCAGCTGCGCTGTAAGTGTGATCCTGACTCGGCGACGTTGTGATCACCTGCCATGTGCATTTTCCTCCCTCCCGTCTGTGATTCGACGTGCCGTTCTTCAAACTCAGCATCACAGCGGCCGCGTCCGCCTCGTTCAACGGCTCCTGAAAAAAAAATTGAACCCAGAAAGACGTTATTAGGGTGCGGTTTGAATCGCACAAGTTCTGAGATGAGATGCTGATCGGGATCCAAAAATAACCTTAACACAATTTATTAGTCAAGAAATAGTAGTACTGACTCTATTTATTAAGGTCAACGTCATGGAGAAAGGAAGAAAATAAAAGAAAGAACAGAGTAGAGAGCAACGAGCAACGAAAACGGTTGGAAGATTGTGTTAACAGCGTTAACTAGGGTTCTTAAATGTTAACTCACCTTAGAATCCACCCCTTCCTGTTCAACTTTGACCTTCACCGCATCGTGGTTCATCTCAGTGGCGGCCAACTTTTTGGAAAGGTACGGAAACAGGTCCGGATTCGGCAACCTATACACCGCCGGCTTTTCTGGAGTCCCTTGCACCGTTTTGGTTGAACTGCCCTGCTCCGCGCTTGTACAAGGATGCAACGGTGATCTGCTGAGGGCCTGGATCAAGTTCGGCTTGTACTGAGGGTCTACCGTCCACAGGGAGCCTTTGCCCAGATTCTGAGCGAAAAAATTAAAATTAGGAAACCGAGAAAATTCAATTCGGGATCAAATCCAGTTTTGGTGTTGAAATCAAGTTAGAATGGGGTTCATTCCAGTCCCATTTCAAATCTTTGGCCCGTTTAGTGTATTTTATCTGAAAACCAGCATATCATTTTACTTAAAATACTCAGCCTACAAAAAGAACTTTGAACTCATTTATTTTGGATAAAGTCGAGCAATGTGAAGTATACACCACTGTTATGTCCTTAAAAAATCGGAAAAGTCCTGGGTTCGATGGTATTAAAAGCGAGCATTTGAAAATTATAGCCGAGGACATAACAGAACCACTCACTTACCTAATCAACAAATGCTTTGAATCTGGCATATATCCCTGAATTTTAAAAAAAAGGTAGTATAATACCGATACATAAATCAGGAACAAAAACAGATGTTAACAACTATAGACCAATATCAATAATAACCAGTGTAGCAAAGGTTTTTGAAAAAGTTTTACCTACTAGAATGATTCGATACCTCACAAAATTCAAAATTTTAAGTGAAAATCAATATGGATTTACAGAAGGGAAGGCTACATCGGACGCAATAACTAAAATTGTAAATCAAATACATCAAAATATTGATAACAGAATCCCTTCAATCTGCATTTTTGTTGATTTAAAGAAAGCTTTCGACACAGTTAATCACAAATTATTATTAGAAGCATTGGAGAGAATTGGTTTCAGAGGAAACGCGTACTCACTGATCGAAAGTTATTTGTCAAATCGCCCACAATCTGTGCAGATATCAGGATCATTTAGTAAAGAAATGTATATTAAGTGTGGTGTCCCACAAGGAACTGTCTTAGGTCCGCTGTTATTCAATATATATTTAAATGATATTTTCCAAATTAATTGTGTTGGCAAAATAACTAGTTTTGCAGATGATACTGCAATATTATATGAAGGCTCTGACTGGTCTGATCTGAAAAATGTAATTGAAAATTATTTTATCAAAATTATTCGGTGGTTTAACAGTAGAAAATTAAGCATTAACTACTCTAAAACACATTTTTTACCATTTGGATCTTATGCTAGGCATCTGCCAAATTACACAAATTTCTCCTTCAATATTAATGATCAAAAAATGCAAATTAATAGAGTGCCCAACATAAAATACCTTGGAGTGGTCTTGGATCCTCACTTACGATGGGACATCCATGTCAATTATATTTTAAAGAAAGTTAGATTTGTATCCTACAAAATTAAATACCTTGGGAATATATTGACACAAAAATATCTTCGAACATTATACCATGCACTGATTGAGCCTCATCTCACATATGGTATATTAGCATGGGGAGCTGCATGTTCCTCACATATCTATAATTTAGATGTTTTTCAAAAAAGTATTCTAAAAATGATATTTAAAAAACCGAAACTTTATCCCACTGAAAAATTATACGCAGATGTTCGAATGTATGATATAAGACAGCTTTATTTCTTACACAGTATCACTCACTACCATAAATTTGTAAACACCGACCAAAAAATTAAACATAATCATTATACCAGGTACAAAATTCGTGGCACAGTAGTTCCTCAACCGCATAAATCTATAATGCAGCGATCATATCTCTATTTAGCGCCTAAATTTTATGAAATTATACCTAAAGACTTAAAAGATTTACGTTTCGGAAATTGTTTCAAAAGAAATTTAAAAAAGTGGCTACATTCTATATCTAGGACTGAAATTCATAAACTCATAAATACGAACATCAACTAAATACATAATCTACTGTAGCTAATTTTTGTCCTTTTTTGTCATTTGCATTCTACAGTTTCAACTTAAATTATTGGTCCATGTACAGGCGATGCCTTCTATTGGGCCTGTTTTGATTTTATATTTATTTACTCATATTGTTTGTTATCTTTGTACATTGAGTGAATAAATATTATTATTATTATTATTATTACTTGCTGCAAGAAACAATATTGTAAAACTCATATTTCGCTTTATGAATAGCCAAAACGCTCGGTGTAATTTTAATAGAATCTCAGAATTTTCTAGTGCTGACTTACCGGTGCTTTTTCGACCTTCTGGAAGCACTTGTTCAGCGACAAGTTGTGCCTGACGCTATTCTTCCACCCTGTAGGTGCGTTTTTGAAGTAAGGGAAATGGTCCAGAATCCATGCATAGATGTCCTTGACAGGCAACGCTTTTTGCACGGAATCTTCGATCGCCATGAAAATGAGACATGAGAAGGAATAAGGCGGCTTATTGCTTGTGTGAATCTGAAAATAAACAATTCGATGTTAGTTTTACCATAGACTGCCCCGCGGTTTCACCCGTGGAACGTGTAGGATGAGAAACATTATAGGTTGTGCGTATATCAAGTGATGAGACTGGCAACACTGGAGGCGCCGGGCTTTGAGGGGGGACAGGGGAACATCTGATCCGCCTTCAGTACAAGTTTGAACTCGATCGAGTCATCTGGATGTCCGGAGCATTTTTTTTGTTTACTACAGTGTGTTTCACAACTTATCCGACAAATTTTAACCACATATGTAGTGTTACGAAAGAAGTTACAGTATTACACTTTTTTTTGAGAAATCAGCTTGTTTCGTAACAGTGCATATGTGGTTAAAATTTGTCGGATAAGTAGTGAAACACCCACAGTCACAGTCAGAGTCAGAATGATGGCCAGTAAAAAACATTCTTGTGGCTCCTCAGCCTCACTATTCGCCTGTCTTGAGTCCTTGTGGCTGTTTTCTCTTCCTGAGGAAAATCATTTTGGGACAGTGAAAAACATTCAGACTTCTGTAGCGCTTTAGAAGAAAGTTATTCTGAGGCAATGTAAAATTGTGATCATATATGAATTAAAAACTTAAGAATCAGTCTCGTCACTTAATTTACAGACCTCGTATGTTGTATACATGCCTGTGGGTCATAGGTTACATTATGAGGATGCTTGTTGTATCTTTGCTGCGAAGACTGCGATTGAATAGGCTGATACGAACTGGTCATAGCCGATGGTGCATTTTGACCGGACGATTCCAAGCTCAGATCTTCCGGGTAGTCGGTATTGCTGCTCGGCGAATGGCTGACGAAGCCTTTGACTGGCGTGGAAGCGACACTGTTCAACGGAGACGGGTTTATGTTCATGCCTAGGAGGAAGAATTACGAAACAATGTAAACAAAAAATTGTTTCTCCGAGTGTCAACAAAGTAAACATAAACAAAAAAAGCAGTTTTTACTTTTGGTGTCAATATGACAGAGGCGGTGACAAATCGCTCATTGAGCAAAGCGCGCACAGAAGTGCATTATGTATTGAACATTGTGACGCCGATGTGGCAGATTTTTGAACGAAAGGCAATAGTTACTTATGTATCTAGGCCTCTAACATGCCTTGGACGCGTATTACTCCAGAAATTGGTATTGGTATTTGAATGTACAAAGAACATGGCGACAAGTAGGTTGACTCTGCACTTCCTATCAAATAATGCTATCCACCTGCTATCTACACCTATACTAAGTGACATATAAATCCGAACACCCAGTTTAAATGGTTTTATTTTAATAAAAGTTGGTGAATGTATTTATCTTACTGTAAATAACAAGTGAAACAATTTTCAGCCTTATCAATTGGACATTCCGGTTTTTATACTGCTTTTTTTTAATTCACTAACGCTCTAAAAATGAATATTTCAGCCGCAGTAAAGAATCAACGTTGGCGGATTTTGGTTCTTGACATCCTTTACGATCGGTTACGATGCCTAGAGTACGGAGACCTGTACGATTTCGTCAACTTAGTGAGTTTGATAGGGGCCGTATAGTGGTACTTCGGGAAGCTGGACTTTCTTTTCGGGCAATTGCAGTTAGAGTGCAAAGAAGTGTAGACACTGTGGTTAGGTGTTGTCAGGCATGGCTTCGAGAAGGCCGTACGCAAAAAGCAAGGGGCACTGGACGCCGCCGTAGAACAACAGACCCTGAAGATCGCCGCCTAAGATTATTGGCCTTAAGGGACCGTTTCTCCACTACCAGGTCCATTGCAAATGAATGGTTTGCAGAACACCGAAGACCTATTGGCATGCGAAGTGTTTACCGACGAATGAGAAGTTTTGGCTTGTTTTCATACCGGCCACACTGGGTCCTCCCTTTAACTCGAGAACACCGACGTAATCGCCTTGAGTGGTGCAGACAACGGTCACTCTGGGATCAGGAATGGAACAGTATTGTCTTTAGTGACGAGTCTCGATTTTGTTTAGGCATGCACGATGGTCGTGCCAGGGTTAGAAGGCGACGTGGTGAAAGGAGGAATCCACAGTTTTTTGTTGAAAGACATGTTCATCACACTGTAGGAGTTATGGTTTGGGGTGCTATAGCTTATGGTTCCAGGTCACCTTTAATCTTCATCAGAGGTAACATGAACGCGCAGCGTTATATCCACGAAGTTCTAGAACCCCATCTTTTACCCTATCTTGACACCCTGGAAGATCCAACTTTCCAACAAGATAATGCCCGACCACATGTTGCAAGAGTCACAATAGACTTCTTTCGACATAATGATGTCACATTGTTACCATGGCCACCAAGACCTCCCGACTTATCCCCAATTGAGCTCGTGTGGGATATGATGGGTAGGCTCAATTTGCAACGTCCTCCTCAGACTCTAGAAGCACTTCGAGAGAAGTTGGTGGTTGCCTGGAATGAGTTACCACAGGAGGACATTGACCACCTGATCAGAAGCATGCCTAGGCGCGTTGGAGAATGCGTAGCACATCAGGGTGCATCCACACATTATTAAAGGTCAAAGGGCTTTAAAGCAGTGCAATCATTTTGAAATTTTTATCCTTTACTTATTATGCTTCATTAAGTACTTATACAAAATTTTATTAAAATAAAACCATTTAAACTGGGTGTTCGGATTTATATGTCACTTAGTATATATTGTTTAACAGGTGGACAGCTGTTTTTTTCTTTGTAGGGTGACCACCATAAAGTATGTCTAAAAACAACTATACAGTCATACATTCTTTCAATTTCTATTAGTTTCAGCCAATACTTAGAGGCAAATTGTTTAAGCCAAATAAATCTGGTATAGACCCAAAAAACTTTTTTTTAAACCTGAGTTTTTCCAACCCTGTCGCAATAAGGCATTAAAAAGTCATCAGGCTGAAAGTTACCATCTGACGTCTAGAAGACATATTCATTAAGCAAATATTTTATCCCATGATTAACGCTTTGGCCTCAGTTTTTAGCTACGCAAATTGAGACGTCAATATATTCCTTTGTCAACAAAAAAACACGAACACGAAATCTCATTCAATAGCAAACAATGCAACGTTATTTATAAACGTGAAAATTTAAATATTTGATAAAACCATCCTAAAACTTTTCTGAAGGTCTCTCATTAGCGATCTCCTCGTGCGCGTTTCAGTTTTTTAGTACAAAATGATATCAAAAAGATCGACACCGTACGTCCTTTCTAGTATTTCTTCTCTAATTAGCGTGGGAAATAAATGGCGTAGAGTCGATTGACTCTACATTTCTGCGCCTTTGCTGGAGACTTCACAGATCGGGGATGAGTCAAGTCGTTTCGAAATTCGTTTTTTTTAATACTGTTCTAGATACTTTCGTCAAATTTGACATACAACTACTACGCATTTTTACATTTTAGCAGCAGCGTCCGTACGGTATACTGAAGATTTTTCAAAAAAAAAAATATGCTACGCCATTGCCAATAATGTTCAACTCCTTATTCTGTAAACTTCAAAACTGTATGACGGAGTACCACTTACCTTTGAGGACGTCCCTTTCATGTAGCCAGTTGAGGCTGGTGAGGTCATCGTCAGGAGCCTTGTTTTGGCTCTGGGCGACAGCAAGCAGCAATGAAATAGGGGACTGTGCATCCCTCAAAGGGGTGCCGGCCACCGGGCTTCCAGGCACGGACATTTTAGGGGTGCCGCAGCTACTCTCATCTTGAGGGGAATATGAACGTTCGGGTGCCATTCTGCAGAAGGTATTTCTTTTTTAGAGCAATTGCGGGTAATGTATCATTCAAATTAGATATAAAGATCGAGCGATTGTTATTTTTCAATTAGATTTACAGGATATTCCCAAATGATGTGTCGCTGGAAAAAAGCTATGAGTGAAAATTTAGTCCAGTTAATGTACATACAGCAATCGGGTAATCTGCAATTTTGTCTGCTGTCAAAAAGATTTTAGCATTGTCGACGAGGCCTGTTCAAAAAATTAATAGGTGGATAAAGTGTCCATAGCGATGAGAACTTCTCGAAATGTCCTAAATAGTTTCTGCGCAAAGTAAACAAAATTTGTAAATTCACATTTTCAAACTTAACCTGTAACTGCCATTGTTATACGAATGTTATAATATTTGAAGTTTTGTTAGTTTCACGTGTCGACATACCGAGAGAAATGGTTAATTTTCTCAAGAAAAGTAAAAGACACTGGTATGATTTTTTTATGAAAAAGTACCTAAATGAAGCCTAAAAAACCTCGCGAAAACCGCATCTCGATATCTTGTTCTTAACCTAAAATTTAGGCCAAACAAAATTTTATACGAAAATCCCTATCACGTCGTTTTGCATTAGGCCTTGAAAGAGAAACTTTGATCGGAGGTTTGACTATTGCCATTGGGTGTTAGGCATGATACATGAAAATATAGAATTTTTATTTCAATATTCTTTGGACCATTTCATCTTTGCCCACTCCACAAAATGTTCAAGAAAAAACAAAGCGCGCTAATGCTCCTGACCCTAACAGAAGGCATATGTTATCTTAACTTTCGTTATCTTCATCAGCCATGTTTACATCATCGAGAAACATTGCTATGCATATCACCAAGATAAAATTTTATTAGACGGAATAAGTATATTGATACATTTTGAGTTTCTTTAGAACACTATAAACATTGGCTTGTTTCGTAACCATTCATATACCAAAATAACACCGATTCAAAGAAATTTTGACCGAGGATAGGATGTTTGGAAAAATATTCTGATTCGAATTGTTTGCATAATCTTATTCAAAAACATCCCTTTTAACGATTATCTATTGTCTTTTTGACTGGTATCCATTATGGTAGAATGACAGCTGATTATCTAGTATAATTTCAAAATTCCCCATATCGCCAAATGACACATAATGCTGACGGATCCGTCAACGCCAGTAAACAGAGCCGTATTTTGTTTCGGTTTTTTGCACTCGGCAGATTCATTTTGTACTTGCTAACAACTGTTATTATTTAGGAAAGCTCATTTGAATACAAAAAAACGCTTCAACCAGGGTTTACTAGATTTTACACCCGACTCATCATTGCCAACTTACAGACTGACAAAGATCTCTTTTCTGATTTTTTTCAAGTAGGCGTTGCAAACAAACGCACGACTTGACGTAAATACTTCTGTCTAAAGGCTAAAGGGCAAATATATGTAAGAAATATGTGAATATATGTTAGAAACATCAAAAATACGAAGTTTGAACGGAAAAACCTACAAAGCCCTTGGACCTTTTGAAAACATTTCATCAAAATCTGAACGCGAAACTTTTCGCGATTACAATACTTCCTCGCCCAATGGCGTAGGAAGTAAAAATAATTTCATCATAATTGATTAACGTCAATATCAGCTAACCGCATATCTGCAATAATGCTACGACTAGGAGATGAAAAAAATCTTGAGCAATCCCATGTATTTATAGGGCCACATCCAACAAGGTAAAAATAGCGTCCACGTGTTTGAGCGCCGTATCTTGTTACAAGAAGAGAGAAAGAAACGGAGCACGCGACGTATGTCCTTACTTAGCGCATCCGCAGACACCGCGTCATCGTTGCCATAGCAACCGGCCGAATGACGTCGACAGTTTACTAATGGAATATTATACAAAACAAGGAATTTCGACTCTATTAAATATCAAAACATCGCCAAGCGTCTCCTCACATAGATATTTGTGTTTCGTATATTTCTATGCCTGATATAAGCTCAAAAATACGAGATTATATCGCTGTAAACAGCGTCGAGATTGGAAATTATGCGAAAATGCCATCACCAGTTCACTTGTTTTACTAGATGACTTGATTGGAATAAGATATTGGTTGTGCGATCAAAGCATTATATAAGTAGGCTGATCAAAAGATAGCATTACGTATTCAACAATCCTGCGTTAACTTTGAAGATTTTCCAATCGAAACGAAAATTATAGAGACAATGATCATTATGAATCAAAAAGCATATGCCAAAAAGGAAAACGTGTTAAGCCATGAATTAGGTAGCTGCAAAATCTTTTAGTAAACAACATGCTTCCAACGTGTAACATTTCGATCTTTTCGGATGCGATTTTTCTTCTAAAATCGAATTTGTTTCAATGACGTTCCATTTTTCCAAATTTAGAAATGGAATGAATTGTTACGTGTCGATATGGTAAATAAATTTAAGTTAGGTTATATCTTGGACGTAGCATATTTTAGAGGCTGACGAAAATTTTAATCTATTCTTTATTCAACATTTCTGCGTACGTAGTTTGTTATGTATATCAAACAGTAGCGATAGTTTATAATTTGAATAATATAGGTCAAATAATCGGCCATTGCAAAATGTACACAACGTGAGCGTGAGCTCAACATTTTCAATAAAACTTTAAGGATTTTTAGCAAAAAGCAATTTGATGATGGAACTGACAGCGAGCATGCTTACGAAAAGCGTGATACATTGTAAATGTGGGATGTGTACGTTACCTTAAGTTTAAAATTCAACAAAAAAATTACAAATCACACAAAAGTTCAAGAGCACACCATCTTTTCCATTTGCCACCCAAACACATGATATGAAATCAACTGATTTGTTTGAAACAGATGGCCATGGACAATTGACATTTGTTTCAAATTTTTCCCGCCGCGTCTTCATTTTTTCGCTATTTCTATCCTTCAAATCCCTTTCCGTCAGCCAAATAGACTTAATTTTGAACTACTGGAACAGCTACATTGTCTTCATAGAGACACTTTTCAAATATTATTAATTTTTGCAAAGAAAATTCCGTTTATATCGTATGCATCGACTTGCAATTATTGACATTTTCCTGACAGATACTCGACGTTCCGTGATTACTAAAGGATCAAGGATGCTGTTTTGTTGTATCGTGACAGTGGCGTCCCTAGTAGTAGTCGTGAGAGGTAGTAAATAAGGACGGTAAAGGTATCTGCCTATTATCTGCGTATCATCGAAGAAAGAAACTAAACCTAAAGAAATGCACGCATAGTTCACGTGATCGGACTCGTGACAGAAGGCCGAGCACGTTACAGGGCCGTACTAACATTTGTACCTTTACGACTCAATTGAGGACTATGCAAAACTATTGCGGGCATGTATAGAGTCCAAACGTAAAGTTTGTAATTCATATTTTTTCAAAGTTTAACTTTCCTGACATAAAACTCAAGCCTGCCGCTTGTTTTTGGTTCAACCCTTTCTTTTACATGTTGAATACATACAGTTTTCCACTTATTCGGTGTAACTCCTTTTACAACATCGTAAACAATATTTTTGACATCAGAAAATTTAATTTTCTGCTGCATCATCAAAATCAATGTTTTTATTTCTGAAGCTCGTCTATCACCATACAAAATTTTGTTCATAATTTGGTAACAAATTTTGTGAAAAAATGCCTTACTGTATTACTGAATTTAGTTCCCAATTTCTTTACAAATTACAATCCTGTCTGTCACGTAAAGAAATGTTTGTAATAAATTTCGTATGAAATCATGTCAGTTTCGAACTGCCATCAACGTCATACTAACCACACTTTTCGGTGCGACATGCTACTTTATTACTTTTTACTTAGTATATGCGACTCTGGGTCCAGCGCTCTGCGTTGTAGCTGCCCACTTTATGAAAAAACGAAGTAAACGAAACCGTAAAAGAATTTGGTGCCGAAAATGGATCAGGGAGAGGCACCGGAGAATGCTGAATAACGAACCTTTAGTGCAGGATCCTCTGCTTTAGAGGCCTAATTGGTTCTAAGGTCTTTCTAATTTTATCCAACGCAGCTTATTTGGCGTTTCTGTTATGTTATTGGTCTTGCTTTTTACAGCATATAAACATCAAATTTCTCATGCTCGTTTACTAGTACGTCACACTGCTCTTTTGACAACGAAACTTTTTTAAGTTTTGCGGTCTACAAGTAGAACAGCGTACAGCATAAGCAGGAGAGTTTCGCAAAACTGATGAACACAACTGATGAAAGTGCATGAGGTCAGGTTTGTTTTCGTCAACTGGTTATCATCTCATCCTAAATACTGTCTGACACTATCCTCAATTTTGTACGAAATTTAGCGTACTAAATTCAGCACAAAATTTCGTATCGTGACAGACAGGCTTTAGGATAGATTTGTTGCATAATAATACATCAATAAATTGACCCTTGCATAGATCACATGGGTTACGCTACTGCTTATTAAGGAGAGGGATGGACCTAGTCACGTGGCACGTGCGTAGTCACGTGGCTCTCCGCGACTGTGAAGCACAAAGCATACACTAAAGAAGAACAGAAGCTTTAGTCACGTGCTATCCATAGGGCAACACGGTGTATTTATGTCAGTGTCAATCGCCATTTTTTCTGGATGCCACACGGCTGTCAAATTGTGCACGAATGTCGCCTGCGACGTTGCCGGCACTTTGCATAAATCTGAGACTCTTGTACAATTATATATTGGGCATTTACTAATAATATATGGAAGATTTTATAATGACATTGTGTTATTAACATATTTTTGCTGTTTTGACAAGTAAGCAATCACATATCTGTTTAAGCAGCAGCGTCAATAACACATGTCATTATAAAATTATCCATATATCTCTCTATAGCTATTTGAACATTTGAGAACAGTAAAAGAATCTATACTTGAGAATATATTTTTACCTAAATTTCACATTGTATGAACACATCAAAAATATTTATGGTCCAAATATTTTCATTTCTGGTGATGGTCTTCTGCAGCACCTGCTTGGAAAATTTGTTAGAATTAGTGATGAAAACGAATTATTTCAAAAAGAAATAATAGTTATCATTAACAACTGTAAGGTTACTGGTAGTTACCAGATTTTTCATAAGTGATAATCAGAATGTAAAAGTTTTATGCAAAATATCATCATTAAAATATATCGTACTTTTTAAGCTATACGAAGCAACTCGATGTTTACGTTGACCGGTAGCAGACGCGCGGAGCGGGAGCTGGAAAGGGGCGTGCCTGTACTACCCGGCCGTACCGTATCGCCACAGCGAGGTACAGCACTCGCACGCTTCAGTCTCTCGGCAACCGTCGGCGCAGCGAAATGTCTACGCGTTCACAGCTCCGTACAGAGCTCTATTAGGTTTAGCCTACTTTTTTTCAGTAATGGTGTTCACTATAGGGTTCTCGATTGTCTCTCAGTGGTGCCTTGGTGTTGTGAAGTGAGTGTCAAGTGTCTCCAAAGTGGGAATTAGGTCTACTTCCACCCGTCTGAGGTCAACAGGATATCTGTGCAGGAAACTATAGGTGAGCCTTGCATACTCATCCACTTGTGTGTTAGGGTTGACACCCTATGTTTTTTTAAATAAAATGCGCACATTGCATACACTGAGAAATTATCATATACGTATTTGGGAAAAACTAAAATTTGGCCAAATCGTTTTTATTTCTGTCTGACTTTATTTTAAGAAATGTCAAAAAACTAATGACACTATTTAGGCACTACATGATGGTGTTTTTGAAAAAGTGCTACACAGTATCTAATAGCAGCTTTTTCTACGACTTCAACGATGTATCACGTTACATTTGTTTTTTGGTTATAAACGAAGGTGTTTTTTTTCTACTTTTTCTTTTTATTCAAGTAGGCGTTGCAAAGAAATGCTTGATGTAAGATTGTGAGATTACTGAGTTTAACCTAGGCTGATCCTTTTCTTGGCCACCCTGTAATACGTTCATTTTTGAAATATCTCAAAACTATTAGCAAGGCCTCGAACAAAAGGTTCAAGCAATTGATGATAGTAAAGTAGCAAAATCGTCTGATGAGCTGGCAACGCCGCAATCCAGGTGACGAGATTAACTTTCAAAACGTAGGTCTATCCCGGGGTAATAAGGACGGAGTCGTTTAGAACGTCAATGCGGCAGTTTTCCAATCTTCTTTGCATATGTTTAAGTATTGTGTAACGATTTCTTAGCTACGGATAGTCTAGTGAGTATATTGCAATAGTTGTCTTGCGTGGCCAAACATCCAGCCATCCAGACACAAATAAAAGTGAGGTCAAGGTCAACTAAAAGTGACAGCAATAAACCGTCATACTTGTCAACGCCGCCATTTTTTCTGGATGCCAACAGTGTTGTCAGGTTGTGTTCGGCAGCACCGCACTGTTTCCCATTCTCCCATATGAGTTGACTCCCCATGCTGTAAGTGTCAAAAAAGTGGGATGTAACGTCAGACTTGACATTTTTGTCACCAACTGTCAGATTTCGTGAACGTTTCGTATTTCGACAGCGAATTGCGAATCAGCGCTGATGTTTTTAAATATAAATTCCGGTACAGTGGATGCTTAGATATTACTTGGGCGCAGTTTTGGCTTTCAGCCTGTTGCAGGTCTTCCAAATGGCTTGGCGGTCTCACGGAAAATCCAACGCAGATCTCGTTCGCAACCTGAGAGGTAAAAAATAACCATTCCTTAAACTGTGCCCTATTTACATTCGTCTGGACTTTTCTAGCGAACGGCATAATACGCAGTGAAGAGGTTGAAAATACAATGCTGAACGTAGACCGGGGGCACTATTCCAAAGTGAACCCCTATATGGACGCCCCTCAAGGCATTGGATACGGTGTTACGATTAGTGCCCCCCATATGCATGTTCACGCGTTAGAGCTGCTGAGAGAGAAGCTTATCCATGGAACTAGGGCCTTAGATGTAGGCTCAGGAAGTGGATACCTCACTGCTTGTATGGCCATACTTTTAGGAGATAAAGGGTTAGTATATTTGGGAGAATTAGAGCTTCGTCTAGTTCACAGACATAATCAGAGGGAGATCTAAGATAGCACATGCAATGCAGTGTACAGCATTCGAGAGTCGCCAAATTGGCGGTTGTAGGGGCCCAGATTAGCCAAAATTTGTGTCTTGAGAATCTTAATCGTCCTGCAGTTTTCAGTAGTGAATAGTGACACTTTCAGCTGTTTTCTCTGCTCTTGGGGCCCCTTACACATTTTTTGCTTGTGGCCCTGGTGATGGATATAATGCATATAACTTCATAGATCATTTTGATGTGCAATATGTATATTCATGTTAATCTCCCATGTTTGTATCGCCAATCAAAACAACATATACATTTGCTTAAACATTTTGGTCCCAATGGACACTTTCTTCAAGTTTGATTAACTTATATTTTTTGATTGTTTTTCTAAGATTTATTTAGTATGATTGCTACAATTATTACAATTGTAGCAATACAATACAATTACATTCTTTTAAGAAACTTTTACACATACAACAATACATAACAGATATTTATAAAAAGTAACTTACATTTCTAAGAATTTGCACTGTCCATGAAATATTCCCTTAATTTTCTCTTGAACATCTTTAAATTACAAGTAGACTATATTGATAATTTTGTTTATTAAATTCAAGTAATCCTTTCTGAAATATTGATTTGCTAGTTATATCAATATTGTAAATTCGTAAAAGGTAGTCAATATTTCCTCTTAATAATTGTGGTCATGATTATTCAAATTTATGTAATGTTCCAAATGCTGTGGCTAAGGATGAATTTTTATGCAATTTTGAGAATACAGCTTCACTAGCAGTGAACAACATAGTAAATGTTTTAGAATAATTGTATTATAAACTATTTTTTTTTGAACTATGAGAAGCCCTATAAAAGTAATGTTTTTTGTATTCATTGAGATCCAGATCCTCCACCTTTAGTTTACTATCAATATATACGTATACCCAAATATTTAATTGATTCACTATTTTCAATTATTTCACCACTTATGCTAACTCTCTTTGTCATTTCAGAATTGCAGTGGGTATAGATCACATACCAGAGCTAGTGGAAATGTCAAGGCAGAATATAATGAAAGACAATAAAAATCTGATCGATTCAGATAGAGTCCGGCTTGTGGTTGGTGATGGTAGGCAAGGATACCCAGAATTAGGTCCATATGATGCAATACATGTAGGAGCAGCTGCTCCCACATTACCACAGGCACTTATAGACCAACTGAAGGTAGTCGATATGATTATTCTCAGTTTTCACCAAAAGTAATGGGGGACTGCAGCTTACCGGTTTTTTATTTTTATATACAGGGTGTCCCAGAAGTCGACGTCAAGCCGAAAACAGGGTGATAGGCAAAGTCATAACAGCTATCAGAAATATATTTAAAAAAATTTTATGTATGTATTTTGAAAATTATAGGTCTTTGAAAAAAATATAGAAATTTCACACCCTACGGCAGTCTGTCAACTGCTGTTACTACAAATATTAACTTTTTTTGGATTTTATTTTTACAATGTAATGATGAATAATGCGTCTTCAAACTGGTGTCTCAACCTTACTGCCAACTTTTCTCGTTCAGGAAAAATTGCCACTTATTTCCCAACCAAGTATTCCAAAGTAAAACTTTGCTCAACTTTAACTGGCTGTACTGGCTGTTGGCGCATTTAATAAGGATTCCAAAATGGTATAACACTTAGAAGATTACTCGTTAACTTATGCACAATTTTTATTTGAAGAAAAACTGATGAAAATTTTTCAAACTGTCCTAATTAAACAGCGATTATGAAAACGCACAAGGACCCTTAAGGATAACTGTTTGCACAACAGTGGGCGTCAAAATGCTGCTGATGATGATTTACCTTTACAGCAAATGCTCAAACTGTTTTCCTTCAGCCGCAATACACGCTCGACATCTTCTTAAAAAAGATCGGGTTATTAAACGAGCGAATCCACGGTAATTAACAAACTCAGCTGCTTCCAATAGTCTTTGCCATAGCTCAGCTACATTTTGAATCGGCTTGAAATAAACTTTTTCTTTTACAGTTCGCCAGTAAAAAATCTAAAGGATTCAAATCAGGTGATCGGGCTGGCCACGGTATTGTACCAGACCGCCTTATCCATCTGCCTGGAAAGTTTTGATCGAGATACTCTCTCACTGAGAGTGCATAGTGCGCTGGGCAGCCATCATGCTGAAACCACATGTCCCTGTAAATACTCAGTGGCACGTCCACCAATAAATTTTGTACAAAAAATCCAAATAAACTTCAGCAGTCAAAGTCTCTGGGAACTCAAACGGACCGATTATTTTACCATTTAAAATTTCTGTCCAATGGTTTATCTTGAAGCGATATTGAGATTTATCTTCTCTCATCAAATGTGGGTTTGCTACGTGCCACTCTTGTAACTTATGCAGGTTCATGTACCCATCTTTCTTAAATGTGGTCTCATTTGACCATAAAATTTTTTCAAAGAACTGTGGATCTTTCCTGTGTCTTTCTAACATTGTGCGACAAAGAGCAACTCGGTGCTCATAATCCCGGGGCAGGAGAGGTTGAACACGCTCAGTTTTTCTTCAAATAAAAATTGTGCGTAAGTTGACGAGTAATCATCTAAGTGTTATACCATTTTGGAATCCTTATTAAATGCGCCAACTTTTAAGGTTACTTGCTAAACTCTCGTAGTACATTTTTTTCCAGTACAGCCAGTTAAAGTTGAGCAAAGTTTCACTTTGGAATACTTGGTTGGGAAATAAGTGGCAATTTTTTCTGAACGAGAAAAGTTGGAGACACCAGTTTGAAGATGCATTATTCATCATTACATTGTAAAAATAAAATCCAAAAAAAATTAATATTTGTAGTAGCAGGAGTTGACAGACTGCCGTAGGCTGTAAAATTTCTATATTTTTTTCAAAGACCTACAATTTTCAAAACACATACATAAAATTTCTTTAAATATTTTTCTGATAGCTGTTATGACTTTGCCTATCGCCCGGTTTCGGCTTGACGTCGACTTCTGGGACACCCTGTATATCGATGCACATTATCCAATGTGTTTTAGGTGGGAGGCAGACTGATTGTCCCAGTGGGTCCGGCAGGTGGCGACCAGCAACTGGAACAGATCGACAAACTGGAAGACGGCAGTTTGGTCCGAAAAGCACTCATGGGCGTAGTCTACGTGCCGCTAACTGACAAAGACCACCAATGGCCCAGAATGCGTTGACAGATCATCACGGCAGTGTGTATCGCTTTGTGTGTCGTCCTACTAATCTACAAAATATTCCCTCGTGAAAGACTTTCCTCCTTGCTATAAGACTTTATTTATTGTTAGTTACGTGTGTAAATTATTTTTTGATTAAACGCTTGTTTTCAATCTTGTGTATGTGTGTCGAACTCATTGAAATTGGGCTTGGATACCTTTAATCACAGCCGACGTCCTGATGATATCCGATTCTCTAAAATGACGACTGCACACAGCTGAATATTTTGAAGGTGTCCAATTTTTTCTGGGAATTGCCATAAGCCATTTGTTTTTCAGACTTTCGGTACTTGGGAAGCGAAAAGTTGAAACATAGCTTTCTGTTTTCAAAGCAGAATTATAGTTTGCATTGCATAAAGGAACACAGCAACAACGAGGCATATTGTCTGCGTCAAATACTTGATAAAAGAAAAAAGAAAAATACAACCTGAATTTGCACGTTTTCAATAGTTGAAATCCTTAGCGTCCTGAGGCGCGAACGGCCACAGTCACACTTCTTAGTTTATTTTTAAAGCACAGAAGCACTACAACTGGAGTCTATTTCTCATATATTATAGTCACCGATCACTTTGAACACATACACACACTTTGAAGCTTAGAAAACAAGCTTATCTCTTAATTACAGCCTCTGGGATTCCAAAATCACAAATTGAAAAGGTTATGTTTTCTCAGCGTTTTGAGCACGAGTTGCGTCGATGCAGCAAGCAGCGGCGGGAGTAACACTACCACCTACGTTGCCAGATTTCTTTGTTCACGGCTCGTAGATGACGTCGGCTGTGCTTTAATGCAGTAGAGAAAAATCGTTGGTCTATTGGAAATTGTGTAGAAAGACTTCATGGTCAAACTATAGTAATATTGGAAATTGTGTAAACTTTGCAAACCAACCAGAATCATAGTATCATTGGAAATTGTGTACGCAAGCTTAACGAATAATTCAAGTGTAGTATTATTGGAAATGTGTACCAAGACTGCATGGAGATAAATCATCATTCGAAATTGTGTACCAAGACTGCGAACCATGCATACCAGAACCATAATACCAATGGAAATACAAGCTTCCGAACAAATCAGTATAACTGGAAACAGACAAATCGTAGCATAATTGGAAATTGTATAGACAGATCACACAGCCCTACCATATATCGTTCGAAATTGTGTTCAAGATTACAAATCGCCCAGGATGGTGGTTGCAAATAAAACGCATATTCTTTCATAAATTAGTTTATTTTTTCTATTACCTTTTACCAAATGATTATTATATGAGTATACACAAAAAATCACATAATATCATATGTACATAGTATAAATGTAAGCGTTACTTTAGCCACTGCTGGTTAGAACCTTTTAAAATGAAGAACTTAGGCTAGACCGCTTCGGATTAATTATTCTCGAACAGTAACGTTTCTAAAAACATTTTTATGATTAAAATATCACACACATTTCCTGATTGAGCCAAATTGCGGAATTTTGACACTTTCATCGTGAGCTTATGGCGAGCGCTTCAAACGTGATAATGGAGAATCTCACACTTCGGGCGGGAACGGCCGACAAGGCAATATTATTGAAAGAAAATGGACCAACAAGATCTGGGTTATTCTTCCTTGCCCTTTTCTTCCATTTTGCACATTAAATTATATCCTGAACTAATTGTAGTATTTAAAAAAAACACTTGAAAGTGACATATTTTTAAAAATTAAGTAAAGAAAAAATGAGCAACAGACGCAAGACGAACTGGTGGAAAGAAAAATTCTTTTTGACGTCTGTTTTTGATTTTCTATTTGCTTTTCTACTGTCAGTGATAAATGTGTAGTGTGAAAAATGACAAATCTAGCCAGTTTACGTATTGCAAAATATATTGAAACAGTTGTATTGATTTTTAGTTTTGATAGTAAGTTGGCAGAATAGAGGTGAAAAAAAATCATGTTAAAGCAAAAAACGTAGATAGGTAGATAATATACATAGTTTTTATTTAAAAATTTGCTATGTAGCAAAATAGAGGAATTTGAGTATCACATATGACGAATCTTACAGATTTTGCTGTGAAAACATAAAGAATGTCCCAGCTGAGGAAGCATCTAACATGAGACCGACACATTTTGATTTTGTCCGTTTCTTTTCACCTCTTTCAAAATATTTATTATTCTAGCACCTTTTGACACCTACCAACAAAAAAAAAACAGTTAAAAGCACTCGTACGCAAAATGATTTTTTTTCTTTAGCGCGAATGTATAAGGTATATAAAAATGCGTTCTTACAAATATGGTACGGATATTGTAATCCTGAGATAAGATAATATTACATATATTTACAAGAAACTGATATACAGAATTATGGGAAAAATCTCGCGACAATCACTAGTTAAAAGAAAGTATACAGTCCATTCAAAAACATTATTTAAATAAATAGAATTTTGTAAAAAAATAGACTTATTTCATTGACGGTCTCAATACTTGGTAGTGACAGCAGAATCTGAAAATTCGTTATAGACTTGGTTAAGGTTTCCTTGTCTATTTATTTGTCTTGTGGAATGCAGAACCCTGCCTATTTTGATTCTTATGTTTAGAAAAACACATTCTGCATCAAGCGACAAATCAGTGGTTGATAACCAAGGTACTAGTGAGACTTTAGGAAAGTAAAAGACCACCTTCTTTGCCATATGACAACTCTTCTGTCACTCCCAATTGTTGAAAACGATCAAACCCCAGGACTCCTCTAAATCAAACCTCATTTACTTGAAATGTGATTTTTTTAGCGCCTATACGACATACATGAGTTTCACGTTTAGATGGAAAAAATGTGTAACCTTATATTTTTGAGGGATTTTAGTCCACCTGTCATTTTACGGACTGTGATAAAGACATCTGGCGTTTTACATATACTGTATACTCTTATCCTTCTATTCGACGTTCTAGTGTCAAAGTTCTTTGAGTAAAGCCGATTTTGCGTTTTTCAACTTATCTAACCTCTTCAGCAAATGCGTATTGGACGTTTCCAATTCTTCGGCGCGGCTCAGAGCGTCTCTTGCCTGCAAGACGAAAAATAATTTGTAAAAGTCGTACAATTCGCAAGGTTTGACAGCAACACACTGACAATAAACGTGTAGACAGTTTCAATTTTTTCTGATGTCCAATTAACTTGTGAAGTTTAAGTAGCATAATAGACTAGTTGACACTGTTTGAAGTAGGTCTTAAATACTTAATATTTGTTCTATTAGACAAAAAAGTTAATGGTTAAAGACCGTAAAACTTAAGACAGGCGAAAACGCTGTCCAGCATATTTGGCTCATATTAATGTGTTCTGATGTCATACCATTTGTAAATATACTAAGTGACATATAAATCCGAACACTCAGTTTAAATGGTTTTATTTTAATAAAAGTTGGTGAATGTATTTATCTTACTGTAAATAACAAGTGAAAAAATTTTCAGCCTTATCAGTTGTTACATTCCGGTTTTTATACTGTTTTTTTTTTTTAATTCACTAACGCTCTAAAAATGAATATTTCAGCCGCAGTAAAGAATCAACGTTGGCGGATTTTGGTTCTTGACATCCTTTACGATCGGTTACGATGCCTAGAGTACGGAGACCTGTACGATTTCGTCAACTTAGTGAGTTTGATAGGGGCCGTATAGTGGGACTTCGGGAAGCTGGACTTTCTTTTCAGGAAATTGCAGTTAGAGTGCAAAGAAGTGTAAACACTGTGGTTAGGTGTTGTCAGGCTTGGCTTCGAGAAGGCCGTACGCAAAGAGCAAGGGGCACTGGACGCCGCCGTAGAACAGACCGTGAAGATCGCCGCCTAAGATTATTGGCCTTAAGGGACCGTTTCTCCACTGCCAGGTCCATTGCAAATGAATGGTTTGCAGAAGTGTTTACCGACGAATGAGAAGCTTTGGCTTGTTTTCATACCGGCCACACTGGGTCCTCCCTTTAACTCGAGAACACCGACGTAATCGCCTTGAGTGGTGCAGACAACGGTCACTCTGGGACCAGGAATGGAACAGTATTGTCTTTAGTGACGAGTCTCGATCCTGTTTAGGCATGCACGATGGTCGTGCCAGGGTTAGAAGGCGACGTGGTGAAAGGAGGAATCCACAGTTTTTTGTTGAAAGACATGTTCATCACATGTTGGAGTTATGGTTTGGGGTGCTATAGCTTATGGTTCCAGGTCACCTTTAATCTTCATCAGAGGTAACATGAACGCGCAGCGTTATATCCACGAAGTTCTAGAACCCCATCTTTTACCCTATCTTGACACCCTGGCAGATCCAACTTTCCAACAAGATAATGCCCGACCACATGTTGCAAGAGTCACAATAGACTTCTTTCAACATAATGATGTCACATTGTTACCATGGCCACCAAGATCTCCCGACTTATCCCCAATTGAGCACGTGTGGGATATGATGGGTAGGAGATTGGTCAATTTGCAACGTCCTCCTCAGACTCTAGAAGCACTTCGAGAGGAGTTGGTGGTTGCCTGGAATGAGATACCACAGGAGGACATTGACCACCTGATCAGAAGCATGCCTAGGCGCGTTGGAGAATGCGTAGCACATCAGGGTGCATCCACACATTATTAAAGGTCAAAGGGCTTTAAAGCAGTGCAATCATTTTGAAATTGTTATCATTTACTTATTATGCTTCATTAAGTACTTATACAAAATTTTATTAAAATAAAACCATTTAAACTGGGTGTTCGGATTTATATGTCACTTAGTATAGTATCTGATAGTAGCATAACATCTCAAACTTAACCATATATAAACAAGATGTCTCCTAGGTTATATGAAAAATGTAGTAATTATCGTTACTGTAATGACAAAGACTGAAAAACACATCGATAAAAACCCCAGAAAATCTCTGGAGTAGAGTGCCCCAGGAGTATTAGAGAAAATTATTCAAGGTTATGACGTATGAGCTTCGTTTTCGGTGACTTCTAAACAGAAACATTTTTATTCGTTCTTTTAGATGCACTGTTCTCACCAAGTCTTGATGTTTCTCAATGTGTCGATTTTCGACAAATTTGTGCTTTTTGCTTTTACGAATCCAACGTCGCTGATGGTTTTTTTCAATAAAACGAGAAAACGATAAATTTTTACGTTGGTTACTTTTTTTGAGACATATTTAAAGAAAATAACTCTAGTCCACGAGTGACATACGAATGACGTTTCTTTGTTTACAATTTGTATGACGTCACCTACCATGGCCGGTAGCGTTTTCACCGTTTCATATTAAAAATAAAAAATATATTTTTTTTTTCAATTGGACCTCCAAATGCATCTTACTCTTTTGAAAATTGAAATCAATATATTTCGTTTTCCTAAGGCAAATACTGTACGAAATATTTATTATATGAAATTCAACATGCTGTTTTCGTCCTCCTGACCAAAGACAGCCAACCATGGACAGCAGTGCTTTTTGGAAACTCTTCAGCATGATCTAGTCTTGGTCTTTGGGACAACAAACAAAAGTATAGCGATTATCCTTTATCCATAGTTTGAGATTCATCGAAATAAGACAGCGCACAGCGCCATCTACTACCAGAATCGTTTACTGCGAGAGTATGTAGTAGCTATCGGTCGGAACTGCAAAGATCTCGGTTCACGTTTAATAGCCCAGTCAAAGCTGTAACCGCTCATACCTTAGATCGAGGAGATGATGCCTAGACCAGACTGATGTGTTGTCAAAATGCATGGAACAGCTGTCTTTGGTCTGACAGACGAGATAAGCATGTGTAGTTGCTCAATGAGGAGTAGATCACATCTTCTATACCGCCACATTTGTCAGTCTCTAGCGGTCATAGTGGTTACTTGGCGATTAAATGCGAACTGAGATATTTAGTTCTAAGCGAAAACAGCAGTGGTTGATTCTGGTAACAGATGTCGCTTTGCGCTGTTTTCTTCCGTTAGATCAATCTCAATCGTTAAATCAACACTCACATTAAGCTATGTTCCACACAATAGCTCTAGCATATTGGTTAGAAAGACTGTGCAAAAAACACAAGAGCAGAACAACTCTTTCGGAAGGTTGCAATACCATTTCAAAGTGGTTCCTAAGGCGTTCACAACAAAGTGACAGCAACTTGACCAATTGTTAGCACTGCAGGAGTTACTAGTCAGTTTGGAGTCGATCTGCAGATGTCACTGTCACACTTTCCGATTGTATCCTCAAAAAAATTATTGATAAAAGTACTTTTATATCGCGTTTTTGTGTTCTTTAAAGCAGCAGTGTGGTAAAACCTTACGGGGAAGCTACAGTTGGTACACGAAAAGTGACGAGCAAGTTAATAGTGTACGATTTTTTGGCAAATAAAAACATTTAACATTTTCTCTCAGTCAGGATTTAATAGGAAAGATTAGTCAATTCACCCTCCATCGTCTTGTCCGATGTCGAGAAGCTGTTCTCAGGGATAATATACGAACAAATCATATAATTCATTGAAGAAACAAAAATTTCGATAAAAAATCAATCTGGATTTAGAAAAAAATGTTCCACAGAAACGGCACTCCAAATGGTGGTGGAATACTGGAGAAGAAGTATAGATGAGAAAGAATAATATTGTAACAATTTTTTTAGACTTCAAAAGGGCATTTGAAACTATAGATAGGGAAAACTTGTTAATGAAATTGCGTCACTGTGGCTTTAAAGGATCAGTATTGCACAATTTACAAAATTATTTAGTAAATAGAAGTCAAAAAACTAAATTTGGAAATATTATGTCAAGTGTTCAAAATATATCAGTAGGTGTGCCACAGGGAAGTAAATTAGGGCCGTTACTATTTAGTATTTATATAAATAATATCTGACATTTTAGAACACTGCAAAATTCAAATATTTGCGGACGATACACTTATATACAGGGTGACTTCGAAGTTGAGTCATTTATTTTAACAGTGAGTAGATCTGATCAAAAGAAATGTTTTTTTCCTTTACCATTTTTCTGGTAAAATCAAAGTAACAAAGTTATAGCCCTTTGGAAGTTTGAGTACCGCCCTGTCTCAATGATAATATCATGTACTCGTGTTTGGCAACAACGGATATAATCCACCTTACCGGTTCATCGCATCGGAAACAAAAAAGCGAAAGAATTTGGAACGACGTTTTTGCAATTAAGTGTTTTATTCAGTTCAGTTATACATACAGTCAGTATCTGTCGGTTAGCGTGTGAATAGTTTCTGTTGCGGGGCTCAAACGAAATAAAAAATGGCACATGTTTATGCGGATCGGTTTCCCAATCGAGTGCAACCAACCCCTCGTGCCTTTGTTAATGTAGTACAACGGGCTCGTGAATCAGGTGACTTAAGACCTCACAGGGGACCTCACGATCAAATACAGGTCCGCACTGAAATACTTGTCGGGAGGATACTTTATAAAACAAGGTAAATTTTTTTTTTAATTTTTTTTTATTTTTACACGCATATTCTGGTTTATCTTCCTTCTACAATCATTATCTGAAAATTAATGACTCAACTTCAAAGTCACCCTGTATGTATATAATGGGTTGTCCAATAGGGACGCAGGAAAGTAAACGTCAATTTGACATAGACGCCATCTTCGTTTTCTGTCACCGAGATGTCATTTTGTTAGCTGAATGTATACCATTGATCGCTATGGAGTCGTATTCGATTGAAGACCGCGTTAAAGTTATGCAAAAATAAAAAACACGTTTCGCGCGCTTCGTGAACATTTCGGTCGCAACAACCGCCCAAACGAAACAACCATCGGTCGTCTGGTGCGTAAATTCGAGGCAACAGGTTCTGTGGCAAATCTGCCAGGCTCTGGCCGGCCAAGGAGCGTTCGCACACCGGAAAATATTGCTGTTGTGAAGGAGAGTGTGAGAGACGATCCGAAACAATCAACAACGCGTCGATCCCAAGAATTGGGCATTTCGAGAACCAGTTTGCTCCGCATTCTCCACAAGGATTTGAATGTACACGCCTACAAGATCCAATTGACGCAAGAGCTGCGTCGGGCCGACCATTTTTCGCGCCGAACGTTCTCAGATTGGCTCCTTGAACACCGCCAAATTGATGCCAATTTTTCATCAAAAATCATGTTCAGCGACGAAGCGCATTTCACTTTGAATGGGACGGTAAGCAAGCAAAACTGCCGCATCTGGGCGAACGAAAATCCCCGTGAGTATCAAGAGCAGCCGATGCATCCTCAAAAAGTGACTGTGTGGTGTGCATTGTGTTCAAAAGGCATCATCGGACCTTACTTTTTCGAAAATGCGACCGGGGACGCCGTTACCGTCAATTCTGAGCGATATCACGTGATGATAGAGGGCTATTTTTTGCCGCAACTTGAAGGAATGGATATGGACGATGTTTATTTCCAACAAAACGGTGCAACATGCCACACAACCAACGTCAATATCCATCGATTGCAGTCCTTCGGTGATCGCGTGATTTCGCGCAGAGGAAATGTGCCATGGCCACCAAGATCGTGCGATTTGACTCCCTTGGACTTCTTTTTATGGGGTTATTTGAAAAGCAAAGTCTACGTCAACAAACCAGCCACCCTCCAAGAACTCAGAAACAACATCATTGCCGAGATAAATACCATAGAACCGACCATGTTGCAAAATGTCATTGAAATTTTCGACCATCGCGTGGACATCTGTAAATCCAGTCGTGGTGAACATTTGAGCGATATTATTTTTCATACATAAATGGTATAAATGAACCTTCAAAATAAAGTACCCAACTTGATTTGAATATCAATCTTTCTTGTTTTAATATGCGTTTACTTTCCTGCGTCCGTTTTGGACAACGCCATAGCACATAAGCATTTGGACACTGCTTTAGAACTGTTAAATAGTAATATTGAAAAAATTATGAATTGGTTAAATGTCAATAAACTTAAATTAAACACTAATAAAACAAAATGTATGTCAATAGGGAAACGTTTAGGTGACAAAGTTAAATGGTCATTATCATAACTACGAAACTAGAGGCAGTATAGATTTTCATCTGCAAAATTGTAACAGTAGCATAACTAGTAAATCTATATTTCAAAAAGGAGTATTTGAAGTTAATAAATTGAATAATGATATTAAACAGTGCTCGAATTTAAAAATGTTTAAGGTGAAATTAAAAAATCACTTTATGAATGATCAAAATACATAGTGACGTAATTTTAATTTTAATAGACAAGAATGTAAAATTACAGAAAATTGATTGAAGAAAAATATGTAACCGAATCATTATACAAAATTGACATTGCAGCTTTAATATTAAATAAATCTTCAACAACATTCTTACTAGTAATCACATACTAGGTGACTTTTTCCACACTGAGCATAGCAAATAGGCGCTTCTTGTTGGGATCGGTGATGGGCGAGCCGACAAACAAGACGGTGTTGCCAGATTTCGCCTAGCATCACACGCGGCAAAAATACAGCATCGGTAACCTTATTTTTGAGAGAACCCTGGTGTATGCTTCGATGAATCGCACTCAAAATGGTATGCAACGTAACGACGAGTACAGTTAATTACAATCCAAACAACACTAGTATTATACTACCACCACTAACATCACAGTAACACTACTACTGCAAGACCACTACTAGGTTCCAGTGACCTTTCTACAAGTCAGCCTCTTGTGCGCCTTGCTCAGAGCGACGTTTGAGGCCTCCAATGCCTCTAACTGTTGATTCGCATTGTACACCTGATCGACGATACAACATCAAAAATAGGAGGCAAAAGATGGAAAGCGAACATTCAAGTTTACAGAAAGCAGCAGATGCTAGAATGGCGAGAAAAAATACCGAAACGGTCAAATTCGGACTGCACAGATTACACTGGTCAACAAATTTTTAACTTTGTCGTGCCACACGGACTTTTTTGATATTTTTTACTTTAATTGGTGATTGTAAGAAAAAATAAACAGTTAAAAAAATTTGCTAGACAAGGATTTTATTCTATTGAGTAATTTAAAATATTAAGAAAAAACACAGATCTCGTAAATCAAAAGTTATTTTTTTTTATAAATGACTTAATAATCTAAGATTTTCTTGAATATTTAGCTTCTGGTTGGTCCCTTTTAATTGTCCAGCAGTAATCTGCTAACATATTTGGGCTCCATTTGCCCTGGTACCGCTTTTCCATATTAGAAATGTCCTGATGGAACCTCTCACCGTGCTCGTCGCTGACAGCCCCTAAATTGCCAGGAAAAAAATCCAGGTGCGAGTCTAAAAAATGGATCTTTAGTGACATGTGGCAACCCAATGCTTGATATGACAATAATAGCTCGCTAACTAACTCTCTGTAGCTGTCACTCTTGTGGTTACCCAAAAAATTTGAAACAACATTTTTAAAAGCCTTCCATGCAGATGTTTCCAAATCGCTTAATTTTTCTTCAAATCTTGAATCTTTTATTAACTCCCTAATTTGAGGGTCAACAAAAATACCCTCTTTTATCTTTGCATCACTTATTTTAGGGAATTTTCCTTTTAGATACAAAAATCCACTCCCATTGCGATCCATTGCCTTCACAAAATTTTTTATTAATCCTAATTTGATATGCAATGGTGGTAGAAGCACATTATTTGGCTGTACAAGGGGTAAATACTTTACGTTTTTTTGCCCAGGAACTAACGATGCACGCGTAGGCCATGTTTTTTTTATATAGTGATTAGTTCTGTCTCGGCTATCCCATTCACATAAAAAGCAGCAAAACTTTGTATAACCCAGCTGAAGTCCAAGTAATAGTGCAACAACTTTAAGATCACCGCAGATTTTGAAGGAATATGTACTGTAATTTATTTTTTCAAGTAAAAGTTTCATATTTTCATAGGTTTCTTTCATATTTGCAGCATGGACCAGAGGTACAGACGGAAGCTTATTTCCATTATGCAATAACACTGCTTTTAGACTTGCTTTCGAAGAATCAATGAATAAACGCCACTGAGAGAGATCAAAATCTATGTCCAACATTTTCATAATCTCATTTATGTTATTGCAAAACACCAAATCTCCATCCTGAAAAAAATACGTTCTGAAGTGTTGATCACGGTTTCGAAAATAGCTAACTTTTGTATTATGATGTAGCAAATTCCATTCTTTTAGACGTGATCCTAATAGTTCTGACTGCTTTTTTGACAAATTTAAATCCCGAACCAAATCATTTATGTCTCCTTGAGTTATCAAATGTGGCTCGTTTACAATCCCTTTTAACTCAAAGTCATCGTCCTCGTCAACACATTCAACTGAAGTGGACGGTTGTGAATTGTTCTCAACCGAGGTAGTTGCAACTGGTATTAGTTCTGGCAATTTTTTACAATGAGAGACTGGTCTTATAGCCGAAGATAAGTTAGGGTAAATAACTGTGTTTTTTTTCTTGTAATTTATACCTTTTATGTCTGTGAGACAAAAATAGCAATCTGAAACGTGATCTCGCTGATCAGTCCATATCATGGGTACAGCAAACGGCATAGGTCGTGCACCTTTCTTCCAGTCAGTTAAATGTTTCACGCACGTTATGCAACAGACATGAGGGGCCCAGGATTTGTCTTGATGGGCGACAGAAAAACCAAAACATTGGTGATAACACTCCAACACAAGATTCGTAAAATTTCGTCGTTGTTTTTTGAATGTTAGTTCTCCGCAGACATAACAAAAAGAGTTAGGATCATTATTACACTTCCTCGACATATTCACAGGGTTAATAAATCACAAAAAAGTGTTCAAATTCAACAAAAAATATTTTTATAAGGATTTACTTGTAAGCGTTTCTGTTAATTTACTGCCGTAGTACTAGTTATGAGTATTACCGTATCACAACAAATATGAGGCTAATAGACATATGACAGCTGTCATGTAATAATGAGGGTAGACTGATAAAACAAAATTAGCTGTCAAAGTTCGTGTGGCAAAACCAGTGTTGATCAGTGTTATCAGATTTTCTAATGATTTCGAAAAACGTGTCTGAATAGAAGCAATTCTAGCATCAATTCTGCGACGAAAACAAGTGGAAGCCAAAGAGTATTGTTAGTATTTACCAAATATCAGGTAAGCTATCAGTGGATATATCAGTTATAGTATCTGAATCCTGCAAAATAAAAGTAAATGTAACAAAAAAGAAGCTCGTACGGCAAACGAAATATGATGCTATTACTTTATATCTATGTACAGCATGCAAGCAGCAAAAGCGAAAAATCAATCATGAAGTTCAAGATTAACGAGCGGCATAATACTCTAGATATTAGACGAAAATACTCCTGGTTTGCGAAATAATTATAAAGTCAGGATTTATTGGAGCAACATGGACGCATAACATGGGTACACCAATTTTTGTGGGAAAACTTTTGATTCGACAACAAAGAATGAGATAACGCGTTTTTTGGGATTCAATCGAAAGTAGTAGTAGTAGTAGTAGAAAGATTTATTTAGCACATTTGGCTACATAAACAGAACAATTGTAAACAACTTAGAACTAGTAAATTCAAGCCATATGGTGTATGATGTAAATGCTGGGCAACCTATAATTGTAGATTTAACAAGTGATTTCTCAATTTTACTTTAAATTTTGTCAAAGTTTTCTGGTCTTTTATCCCCGAGTATAATTTATTATATTCAATCAACCCTTGATGGAATACAGATTTGTAGCATATGTTATACTTTTTGGTCATTAAATGGAAGTCATCTTTATTTCTGGTATTATGTAAATGATGGTCGACATTTGATGATGTTAAATTAGTTAGACTTGATGGAAATATATTATTTTTTACTTTATAAACGAATATCATTACAAGATATTTGATAAAAACTTTTACATTGAGCCATTTTAATTTGCTAAGCATTTGCCTAATTGGAGTATATTTATCTTTATTTAGTATTATTCTCATGCACTTATTTTGTAAAATTTGCAGTCTTTCAAAAATGGAATTATTTGCTAAATATAGAATAGTCGAACAGTACAAGAAATTTGGAAGAATGATGGTATTATAGATAATTTTTCTGCTATATGTACTCAGACATTCAGAAACTCTCGATAAATATCCCACTTTACTACTAATCTTATTTATAACTTTTTCATAATGAATATCAAAAATTAATCGAGAGTCAACAAAAACCCCCAGGTATTTAAAATTTTCTACGAATTCAATATTTTCACCATCAATATTCAGTTGAACATTTGTACATTGTTTTTTTCCGATTAACAAGGCTTTCGTTTTACTTGCATTTAATTTTAGTCTGTTAGATGCTAACCATTTTGAGACAAGCTTCAAGTCTTCATTTATATAAGAGATACCAGACTGAATATTTTTAGTACTTATATAAATCATAGTGTCATCGGCGAAAATCTGAATTTTGTATTTTTTGACTATGGCAGGTAAATCATTTATGTATAAAATAAAAAGAAGTGGTCCCAGGATACTGCCCTGTGAAATACCCAACGTATTTTCAATTTTTGATGAAATAGTGTCATTAACTTTTGTAACTTGCATCCTTTTAGACAAATAATTTCTAAACCAATCTAAAACACTTCCTGTTATACCATATGCCTTCAATTTACCTAACAAAATATCTCTATCAGTCGTTTCAAATGCCCTCTTCAAATCCAAAAATACTGCTATGACAACTTCTTCTGAGTCTATGGCTCTTTTCCAATTCTCAGTTACCAACTGGAAAGCTGTTTCTGTGGAATATTTTTTTCGAAAGCCTGCTTGCGCCTCCACTAAAATTTTGTTTTCTTCTATAAAATGCATTAATTGGTCATGCACTATGGACTCTAATAATTATTCAATGTCTGGTAACACATTTACTGGTCTCATATCGCTGCATCTTTTAGAATTTTTTATTTTGGGAACTGGTGTTATTGTAGAGCATTTCAAATTTTCAGGGAAAGAACTGCTTCTCAGTGAACAATTGATCCAATTTAATACAGGATATCCCAAAATTTCGAAACAGTTTTTCAGCACGTTTTTAGTAGTCATTTCGGCACAGTTGTTATTTGATTTTAAACTGTTTACTTTTTTTCTTAGATGATTCAATGATAAGCTGTGAAATTTTGAAAGTGTATGTAACATTTCCCCCTGGAAACTGATTTTCATATAGTCAGGTGCAGCATTGGCAGTACCTACAATATCAACAATACTTTCCACAAAATATTCATTTAGTTTGTTTGCAATCCCCAAAGAATTTGTTTCGGTACCGTTTTCGAATTGAACTTGATTTACACAATCATGCGGCTTCGAATTGATCAGTCTTTTTAAAGTCTTCCACATCTTTACACTGTCGCACTTGTTATTATCGATTTGTTTATCGTAGAATTTTCTTTTTTCTTCTCTAATTACATATACATACACATTTATTCCTAAGAGTTTTATATACCTCCCAATCATCATTTGATTTATTGAATATACATTTATTGTATTGTTTGTCTCTCAAATTTTGAGCTGCCTTAATATTCTTGTTATACCAGGGTGTATTTTTTGTCGAGCAAATCACTTTTTTATCAGTTGCAAGATCTAAACAAGTTTTTATATTTCCTATTATGTTGTCATATATTTTTTCCATATTCTCACCAAAATTCCAATAGCAGCCAGCAAGTTCTCGTTCAAGTTTTTCGTACTTAATAGTATTTACGATTTTCTTAATTTTTATATCAGAAAAATGCCCTACCAAGGGCAGCATTGTCCAATTGTGATCGCTAACTTTAGGTGTATGTACAGCTTTAATCCCTGTACATTCGAAATTTACAATAACAAGATCTAACAAAGTCTCTGATAATGATGTTATTCTGGTACTCTCTTCAATTTTTTGCTTGAACCCATAGTAGCAACCAACATGGTTTTATTCTTGGTAGATCAATTATCAGCAACATGTTACACTGCATCGCGAATTGGACCAGATCTTTAGACGCAAATGAACCGGTCGACGTGGTTTATCTGGATTTTTCCTCAGTTCCGCACAAGCTTGAACGTCTCGGAATCAGGGGAAATTTGTTGTTATGGATTGAAGCTTTTTTTTGTTAGACAGATCTTTCTCCGTCCGTGTTGGAGACGCCTATTCTTCTAGCCATCGTGTTACTAGTGGAGTTCCACAAGGATCTGTGCTAGGGCCAATACTTTTTCTTCTTTATTATATTTTTGCTATTACTCGGATCTTTTTACGCGTGATCTCATTTTATAGGTCTCATGAATACCTAAAAATCTTATTTGAAGAGTTTCTTCGTTCCTGCCAAAACGCGTTTTCTCATTCTTTGATGTCGAATAAAAAGTTTTCCCACAAAAATTGGTGTACCCATTTTATGCGTCCATGTTTTAAATACCGCCTTGTACAACTTGCATCAATAAAACCAGACTTTACAATTATTTCGGGAAAATTTGTTAAAATGATTTAGACTACAAACAAATTTTATGAACTGCAAATTGCGGAAAAATTGAATCATTTTTTCAGAGAAATTTCAAAAGTTGATATGTTAAAACAAATTAATGACTTTTCACCCCGTCAACATGAATTCGACAAACTTGATATAATCTTCAATTTTCGTTAGTAACTTCAAAGGTAAGTGATAAAAAAAATAAGCAAGGTGTTTTTTTTCTAAAACTTCAATGACCTAAAATTCTGGCGATAAAGCAATATCACAAATGCAGACATTTTCATATCGCGTACGCCTCCACATTCGTCAAAATTTGACGAAACGATAAAGCATATACGAACCTCTCTTTGCAATTTTCGCTTTTCAGCCTTCAGCGCCTCTTCTGACTGTTCGGACACTTCGGCCGCCGTTTTATACCTGATCACTTGACTTTCCAGTCGCGCCACAGTCGCTTGCAACGTTGCGACGTCTTGCTCGGCTTTCTGAGCGCGGAATTTGTAGTCGGCCAGCTGTTTACTTGCCTCTCCTAGGACAAAAATTCATTAGAACAAATTATAGTTTAATTAAAATCTAAAAAAAAAACACGCTCAATTGCAAATCGAACTAAAAAGTAATACAGCAGACGCTCGATAACGTAAACACGGGGTAATGAAAACTTGCGCTAATGTAAACACAAACTTCGTTCTATGGGATCAAACGGAACGCGCGATAACGTAAACAACGTGTACGTTCGATAACGTAAACAACTCTCGGCGCACGGAAACAGCGCGACGGTAAAATGCTGAAGCCTCGATGATTTATGTCGGGCGTCGGGAGTCCCCGATTTATGCTGTAGAATGTAGGGGATTCACCTCTGCGATAAAATACGACAAACTCGGTCAGTCGTATGATCGTTTAGGATACGTTTATACGTACGTATGTATTTCATTTTTGAACTTAAGTGAATACATTGCACGCGTTAATATATTTTACGACTATGGCATCCACATCCTATAAAATAAAGTGTTTAAAGATGAGTGAGAACGTGAAAATCATAGACGAAGTTGCACTAGGTGCGGGAGTGACACAGTTAGCAAAAAAATATGGAGTATCGAAAGCAACAATCTGTAAAATTAAGCGTATGAAAACTCAAATTTTACAAAGAACGTGCAATACATTTGGAGGTCCGGGAAAAAGAAAAACTTTAAAAAACGCGAAGGCACCCAAAATGGAAAATTCCCTGTATAAGTGGTTTTTAAAACAACGGGAAAATCATGTCCCAGTTAGTGGCGAAGTACTTAAACAGAGAGCGAGACTGTTAAATAAAAAACTGAAAATTTCGTAGCTAGTGATGGCTGACTACAACGATCAAAACAAGATATGGAATTCGACTGCTGTCTATATCTGGTGAAAAATTATCAGCACAACCACAATTAGTGCAACCATTCAAAGAAAAATTGATGAAAACAATTACCGAGCTAGATTTAAGAATGGAACAAATTTACAACGCAGATGAAAGTGACCTTTATTGGAAAATGTTACCAGAGAAAACCTATGCTTGAAAAATCTGCTCCGGGAAGAAAGCCGGAGAAACAACGAATAACATTTCTAGCCTGCACTAATGCTAATGGTTCACACAAAATAAAGCCACTGGTAATTTTGAAAGCAAAAAATCCGCGCTCATTTAAAAATGTTAATATCCCTGTTGATTATGACTGTTCAAAAACCGCTTGGATGACTAGCAGTATATTTCTGAAATGGTTCCACAGGTGCTTTGTCCCTCAGGTATGACAATCAATTATCACAAATGCTCTATTCATAATTTGAAGATGCGTTTTCAATTTGTAGGTAAAAGGTTTCCTAAAACAACAGAAGCTTCCAATAAAAGCGTTGTTACTATTGGATAATGCACCAAGTCATCCTCCCGAGCAACAACTGAGGAGCACGGAGGGGTCAATTTTCGTCATGTACGTACGTTCAAGCTAGCTTCGTCATCGGCTGGCGGAGCGTCGAAAACTTCATCATCATCAGCCGCAAAGGTTGGCGAAAAGAAGAAGAAATCCGCGACCGGCTCAAAGAAGAGCGGAACCGTAGCTAAGAGGGCTAGCGGTGCGAAATCTGCGAAGAAGGCATCTCCGAAGGCTAAGAAACCGGCGGTGGCCGGTGGTGCGGCCGAGAAGAAAGCTTCTCCAGCTAAGACAAAGAAAAGTGGGAAATCGGCGACGTCGGCTAAAGCTTCTTCTGCTGCATCTTCTGCAGCGCCTGCAAAAAAATCTCCTTCGAAGGCGAAGAAATCCAGCAAGGGAGCTCCGACCAAGAAGCCAAATGCACCAAAACTGAAAACGGCGAAGGCTGCAACATCGCCAAAAAGGAAGGCCGCTTCTCCCAAAAAGAAGAAATAAAAAAAAATTAGACGTGTTGCAACGTCATAGATTACGACTACGTCGGTTCGCGACGTTATATTTATGCGAGAGGATGCTATTCGTCCCCGCGGATTGAAAGTAACACGTAACACCGTTAATTCAACCGATGGACCAGAATATAATAAGACTCACCAAACTGTACTATAGGAAGTTTCTACTTTCGTCTGTCTTATCAAAGAATCCTGAAAAATTATCTGAGGCTTTAAAGAAAGTAACATTACGAGAAGCTGTTTTAGATTTACATATGGCCTGGAATGAACTTAACCAGCAAACTATTCAAAAATGTTAGAACAATCTCTTTTGTACCAATAATGAAGATGATGAAGAAGACGATGTCCCCTTAAGCGTAATTAGAGAACGTTTGCGATCCAATAATGATAATGTTATTAGTGTGTCATTGGATGTTGTTGATTTATTGAAAACAGTGAATCCCAACATTGTTTGTACTCCTGCTGATATTCATTTATGGAACGAAGATAAGCAGACGAATGATGCTGATAAGGAGGAGGATATGGACAGTGAGGATGATGAGAACGATCCCACTGAAGTCAGAAGTGTAGTGACTGACGCGCAAGCTATACAAGTTTTTAACCAAGCTTTAGATTGGGCTGAAATAAAACAAGTTTCATACACGGATATTTTAGTTCTTCGTAAATTACGGGCGCAGGCATTGGAAGACAATGCTAAGCGCAAATTTACGCAGACAAAAATTGTTAATTATTTTTCTTCTAATTAAAAAAATACTTATCGCTGAAATTGATAAAATCGTTCATTGCTGCTTTCGTTGATCTGTTGGTGTTACAGAATAAATTACCTTCCAAGTATTCACATATCTGATTATTCAGAAGTATTTCGAAAATTTTTGCTATAATTGGTATTATAGAAATGGGCCTGAAATTACATGGATCATTCTCACATCCTTTCTTGAAGAGTGGCAGAATCTTTGCAAGTTCTAATAAGGCAGGAAAGACATTATTTTCTATACACATGTTTATCAATTTTGTTATAGGATATACTATCAAGTTATTTAAGGTCTTCATAATTTTAACGTCGATGTCATAAGGATCTTTACTTTTAGAATTCTTTAAACTTTTGATTGCGTCTCGAACATCATTGAATGAAACAGTTCGAAAGTTGCTTGTATAAAATCTTTGAAGTTCGACTGGGTAGCTGGAATTTCAGCAATGCTAACGAAGAAAGAGTTTAAATCATTCGCGTTGAGAGTAGACGAATGTGATTTTGATGATTGCACAGTAATATAGTAGTAAATCGTAGTTACATATATTAATATCACACAAAACCACCTATGATATCAAAATGTTGTTTTAAAAGGACCTGTATAGTTCATGCTCATAATTTAGAGGGATGAGGTCTTTAAATGTGTTGTTCGAAAGCGATTTTCTTAACTCGTTTTTTGAAATCGTCGACGTTCAGAAAATTCGTAGGCGGTGGTAGTATAATGGAATTATAAGTATGCACTTATGGAAGAATGATGTCTTGTGAAGAGGCTTCAACGACTCTTGCAAGAGGATATGGATTAACACATAAGAACCCCAAGATGTCAGTGTTTCTATTCAACTGAATCGCCAATTATCCCAACTTCTTCCATCCATACGTACAATAAAAAATTTTGATCAACGATTTTTTTGAAAATATCTCATTTCACTTACTTTGTAAATCGTCATAGTCATAATCTGAAGATGGGCCGTTGAGGTGACCTATCGATCCGGGTTTCCGTCTTTTGCTCTTTTCCTCTTCTAATTCTAATTTTAAATGGCTAATTTGATCCTGCAGCTCACTCTTCTCCTTCGCGAACTTGGCCAATCGTACGTCTGAAAATAACAACGATTATTGATCTAGAAAAAAGCGATAACCAATATAAATTGATGCCACACTAGACTTGCTAGGTTTAGCAGTTCCCAATCAACAAAAGTCCACCCTTAAAGTGGTACGTTCCTTTTTTTAGATTTCTTTTCAACTTCCTGTATTCTAAATTGTTTTCCTCTGATAATTTCATGGTGTGTATAGAGATGACTAAAAAACAATGTTTTCATTTTTTTTTGACAAAATCGGAACTTGTCAACAAATATACGTACAGCTCTAAAATTGGGTGTGGACAATCCTCGTTTATGGAAGAATGAAACGAGTGATTACTTTTATTCGTATCATTTTTCCTTATCGAAATATCTTAGATTTTCTTGACGCCTCGTCTCGCAACAAGTTGAGTTTTCGAGAAAAGCAAAGATTTTTCGAATAGGAAAAGTGATAAGAACAAAAGTAATCACTCGTTTCATTCTTCCATAAAAGAGGAATATTCACACACAATTGCAGAGCTGTACTTATATTTGTTAACAAGTTCCTATTGAAGATAAAATGCATTTTCTGACAAGAAAAAATGATTTAGTCATCTCTATACACACCAGCCAGGCAGTGTTCCGTGTACCACTTAGCTGTGACTGTCTTCCATGTGTCCAAAACAAACATTTTCAGCATCTTTCGGCGACAAGTCGTACGACGAGTCTTCTAAGCGGTACTCGGAGAGAACAAAGTTTCCTTACGTGTAAAGTGAAGAACTGAATGAATTGCTGGTGCATTTTTGTAGATCTTTCTCATACAACATTTATCGGCTTTATAATCAAATTCCTAACGACTTGAAAAGTCTGCATCTAATCCGGTTTAAATTCAAATATAAAAAATTCATTTTTGAAAAACACTGCGCACTAATGTAAATGAGGCACAAGCGATCAAACCAATCACTTTTTTGTACTATAACTCACAGTTAATTTTCTTTCGGGGTTTCTAAGGTGACAACATTATATTCTTGGGCGATATTAATGTCGACTTGCTTGCTCATAACAACATCCTCAGCAGCTGCTTTGATTCATTCAATTTCATTCAAGTCATTGATGAGCCTACACGTGTTACAGCCTTCAGTTCCACATTACTTGATCCAATATTTGTTAGTGACAATACTATCGTCAAAAGGTCAGGGACACTCAATGCAGACTCAATTAGTGATCATCGGCTCACGTACTGTGATATTTCCGTTTGTTATAAAAAAATAGAGCCTAAATTTGTAACATATAGAAATCTTAATAGCATTGATATTCAAAGTTTTAAGACGCAGATTGCATCAATGCAGCTTAATGACATTTATTTCGTGAATGATGTGGATATTAAAGTCTCTATTTTTACTGGCCGTCTTCTTTATCTATTCGATCTCTACGCTCCGCTACGTACAGTACGTGTCACAAAACCTGCTGCGCCCTGGCTCACTCCTAACTTGAAAATGATTTTTCAACTCAGAGATGAGGCATTCGCTGTCTATCAGCATAACAGATCTGATCAGAATTGGGCCAGCTACAAAGATTTGAGAAAGTATGCCCTTGCATCGCTTAGAAGAGAGAAAAAAGCATATATGTCACGTTTCCGGAATCTTAACTCTAGTCAAGCTTGGAAACACCTGAGGAGGATGAATGTGGTAGCCCAGAAACATGTTGCGATACCTCCCAGTCTCCTTGAGCCTAACATTTTAAATAATTATTTTCTTTCAATTTTCCAGACAGCTGCAGCTGATCCAAATTTGATTGATAGTGTCTCTAACTCTTATAGCGATAGACGCCATACACCGGATGCACCTCTGTTTGCTTTTAAACTCCTTACTCAGCAAGACATCGTCAATATAATCTCTCACATTAAGTCTACGGCATGTGGCTCTGATGGTCTAACTTTAAATATGGTTTGCTTATGTTTGCCTGATACCATAGACCATATAACTCACATTATTAATGTCTGTCTCGAAACAGGTTACTTTCCTGCCAGTTGGAAAAATGGTATTATTATTCCAATAGCTAAAACTAATCATCCAGGACAATATTCGGATCTCAGGCCAATTACCTTATTATGCTTTCTATCAAAAATACTCGAAAGAGCTGTCTACTCACAATTAGTGGAGTTTTTCGAACAAAATCACTTATTTCCTCTACATCAGTCAGGTTTCAGAGCTGGTTACAGCACTACTTCGTCTTTATTACATCTTACTGATTCCATCATTCACAATTTAGATAATCACATCAACACCGTATTGGTACTGTTAGATTTCTCGAAAGCCTTTGATATGGTCAATCACCAGATACTACTGAATAAGTTATCTCATTATGGAATGTCAGATATAGTTCTAAGGTTCTTTGAGTCATACTTGCTAAATCGTCAACAAACAGTGAAAACTGATCAGGGAATTTCCTCCTCTGAGCCAGTTCCTTCAGGAGTTCCTCAGGGCTCAGTATTAGGTCCCTTACTATATCTGATTTATACGATCGATCTGCAAGACTGTTTAGTCCACTGTAGTAAGCAAACTTATGCAGATGATACTCAGTTAGTGTTTGGTTTCGATCCATCAAAGGTTGATGAAGTTTCTTTTAAAGTTAATTTAGATTTGGCTAACATCGGTGATTACTGTAACAAACACTGCTTGAAGATCAATCCTAATAAAACTACTGCAATGTTGTACTGTTCGAAGAACTCCTACCGTGAAATGAAGCAGAGGATTTGTGTTTTTTGGATGAGACAGTCATCCCTTTTGTGGATTACGCCAAGAATCTCGGTGTTACCCTTGACTTAAATATGAGATTCGATCGGCATGTCTCTTTTTTATCTAGAGTAACGTATTTGCGTTTGAAATTCCTCTATTCTAATCGATACATCTTGAATTTTAAAACCCGAAAAAAGCTCGCTGAAAGTCTTGTGTTGTCTGTCATTTCTTACTCTCTTGTTCTGTATTACCCATGTTTAGACTACGTCCACAAAAGGAACTCCAGAAAATTCAGAACAGCTGTTGTAGGTTTATTTTTGGATTGCGCAAGTTTAGTCGCGTCTCAGATAAAATCAAAGAACTCAACTGGTTGCGAATTGATAAGTTATTTTTATATCTTTTGACCGTCTTCACGCATAAAGTTCTATTATCTAACAGACCCGCTTACCTCGCTAGCAAATTAGTTCACCGAGGTAGTTTTGTTACCAGAGCGCTTAGATTTAATGCTAATTTTAACATGCCTCCTCACAATACCTCGGTCTTTGAAAGAAGTTACACCTATAATGCTGTCAAGCATTACAATGCAGTCAACAGTGGCTATCGATCCAAACAGGTTGTTTCTTTTAAGAAATTAATGAAAAGTCAGCTGCTGGAGTCCATTTAGTTCAGTTTTTCTTGTGCTCATGTGCTTTTTTTTATTTTTTTTTGTTTGACTATTTTCTACTATTTTTGTTTCAAATTTAAAACTCTCGCAATACTATCTGCATTTGTCTCGTGCAATCAATGTTGTCATTCGTATGAATTGTATTTTTTTTTTTGGTATGTTATTATTTTGTTTATGTGTTTAAGTATTCTTTTTTCCTGTTGTGGGGTTGAGTGTAAGAGTAGCCGTCTGGCTGAACTTCGCCTCACTGCAGTTAATAAAGGCATTATTATTATTATTATTATCTGTTTTTTATAATTGCGTGATATCTACAGTGCTGAACCTGGAGCATTTTTAAATGTTCTCAACCCTTTTTGTAACATATTTAATTTATGTTCTGTTCATTATTATTCGTAACTTTTTCTTGCTACTCACCTAGACTTCCTTCCCCAGCAGTTTCCAGCAACTTGGCGTTCTCGGCTGTCACAAGTGCCCGTTTCACTTCCCCTGATCCGTCTTCTTCTACTCCCTCCACTATCACTAACCCCTTTTCTGCTATCAGCCTATCTCGTTCCTGCAATTCGAACTTTGCCGCCGTCAATTCGTCCTTCAGTTGCGCACAAAGCCTTTTTAGCTGTTCGTGTTCCCGGCACTTGTCACGATGCTCACGTTTCAAGGACGCGTGCTCTTCTTCCAACTCTTCTAACCTGGAACAGCAAAATAATATTCATATTTTCCACAGATTGTGGTATAGTATATGAGTTTCTTAATTTGAAACGTCAAGAAATTTTGTAATTACTCACCTATCATTCAAAAGTTCTATCTGATACGTCTGCGCCGTCTTGTCGTTGTCCAGCTGGGCATTGGCTATCATGGCCTTGCGGAATTTTTCTTCGACCTCTTTGAGCTCATGCTGGAACAAGTAATTAAACTGGGTTATTATCAGGTTACCCATTTAGAAAGAAAAAAAAATAGATTCGAAGACTGAAAGCACAGTTGGACAGCTATCAACAATTTTGATGTAACTCAGTCAAGTGCAGATTCGCTATTAAAGTGCGATGATACGCTGATTATCTAACGGTGGGTCCAAACTCGGGTAGATACGATTATCTATTCAAAATTAGAAACATTTTTCGATTTTACTGAGGATTCAAAACTCATAGCATACAAGACCGTAAGACGAGTGCCCTTGTCGCTCGACATCAACAAAGCTTCTGGTCCGGACTCGATTCCTGCCATTGTACTGTGCAGCGGAGCTTGCTTCAGTTCTTTCGCGTTTCCTCCGGATATCTTATGAATCCGGCACCTTCCCAGAAAACTGGAAATTTGCTCATGTCCAAACCATCCCAAAAAGGGGATCTAAGATCTGTTATAAGTAAGGTGATGGAGATGACGATCCACAGGGGACCTCCTAGCTTACGTCACGCAATTATTATTATTATTATTATGATAATTGAGATGAGCAGAGTACACAGTACTATAAGCTCATGCAGTAAATATAGTGTACGGACACGTAACACAAATACATCAAATAGATAAAATAAAAAAAGACAGTTCATAGCTATAAAGTTTGTACACTCCTCCAGCTATCATACTGCACTTTGAAGCCATTAACTGAAGTAGCACCAACCACACTTTCAGGTAAACTATTCCAGGTGTTGAATATGCGGTTGGGAAGAAACCACTGTCCGACTTTGGCTCCTTATGCAGTTTGAAGCTGTGTCCGCGTAGATTGCTGCGCGACAGACGGTATAGATGCATGAGGTTGGTGCCCATCAAACTATGAAGTATCCTGAACGTAACTATAAGATCGCCACGAAGTCTTCGCTCGGAGAATGAGGTCAGGTTGAATGATTCAAGGCGATCTTCATAGCTTGGTCTCCGTGCTCCAAAAGGGATACGAGTAGCCCGACGCTGTACTGATTCGACGAGATTTCTATCGCGCAGAAGCACAGTGTCCCATACCGGGCCAGCGAATTCAAGAATTGGCCTCACGAATGCCTTGTAAATGTAGGCGCAAGTGTTGATATCGGATCCTTTGAAAGACCTCTCCAGCATGTATAGAAGTTTCTTGGCTTTTGATGTAACGTGGTGAATATGCTCTGACCAGGAAAGGCGATCGTTGACTACAACGCCCAGATCAGTGTGGCTGGAAACTGCTTCGATGTTGTGGTCAGAGATCTTGTATGTAAATCGCGGATTTGTCTTCCCGAGGTGAAGGACACAACACTTAGTTAGATTTAAGGGTAAAAGCCAACTGACTGACCATTGACAAACAATATCAAGATCTCGTTGAAGCATAGCAGAATCTACGACAGTATTGTAAATTTTGGTGTCGTCGGCATAAGCTGAACATGTGGAGGAAATCAATGCGGGCAGGTCACTTGTATACAGAAGGAACAGCACTGGCCCCAAGACAGAGCCTTGAGGAACTCCACTTGCTACATGATGAAGGTGAGACTGGCTATCACTGACGAGCACAGAGAAAGTGATCCCGGTGAGAAAAGCCTTAATCCAAAGTAACAACTCGCCTCTTATTCCCATACATTCCAACTTAAACAGAAGCCTTCTATGTGGTACGCGATCGAAAGCCCTAGAAAAATCTAAGTAGATTATATCAACAGGAGTCTTTGTGTCCAGATACTGAGTCCAATCGTTGAGAGAGTGGAGAAGGTTGGTCATTATTGATCGACCAGGGAGAAATCCATGCTGATTCTTAGGGATAAGGTCATTTTCGAAAGCAAATGACAGGAGCTTATCTAATATGATTCTTTCAGCTATTTTGGCGGCGATAGGAACGAGACTTATTGGTCGATAATTTTTAGCGGAGGATTTGTCGCCCTTTTTGAATACAGGGGTAACAGAAGCAACAAGCCAGCATGAGGGTAGGGTATGAGATCTAAAAGACGATGTGAATATCAAGCTTAATGGTAGGGCCAGTGCTGAAGCGCAGTTTTTAAGTGCAGCAGCCGTCATCCCATCTTTACCAGGGGAGGAAGAGGTCTTCAGATTTCGCAGGTGCATTAATACATCTTCAGGCAGGAACTCAACTTCGCAAAGGCTGTTGGGACACCTATGGCAGATAGTGGTCGGTAGAAGGTCTCCATTAGACTCATCGACGAAGTCATCACTAAAGGACTCTGCCAGTAAGTTGGCAGATTCGGTGGCATCCATGTGGAGATGACCGTCAGCGTCGCGGATCTGAGGTGATGAAACTTTGGAATTCAGGTTTGTTCTTAGATACCGAAACAGCTTCTTCTTATTTTTGGATGTAACGAGTTTTCGTTCATAAGCATGTTTGGCATTATTTAACGTTCTAGATAGGGGGTTAGACCAGGATCGATGAGACACGTAATCTTGTGAATGGCCACCCCTCCTAAACCGTTGCCACAAAGATCTCTTGTGACGAAGCATCCTCGATATGTTAGAGTTGATCCAGGGCTTTGAGGGGTCACAGTATACCTTCTTTTCAACAGTATTGCCAGCCGTTTCGCTTAGGACTCGTTGAGCGAAAGTGTCCCACATATCTTGGGTGCTACGGTTATTAAGCAAAGCAGGCCAGTTGACTTCAGACAGGGCTTGGTTAAGAGCATCGTGGTTTACAATTTTGATGGTTTTAAACTTATCGGTTGTAGAACGACTATTTATATTGATCGGTCTTGGCTCCGACACTGTTTCTCTTACAGGTCAACGACCTCCTTTCCTGTACGATCAACCCAATCCACAGCTTCGCTGATGACAGCACTCTACATGCAGGAATTCCGGCTGACAAGCGGATCTCTGCCGCTGAGCCGGAAAAAAGAAGACTAGCGATGACTTCCTCTTTGACAAGAGACCTGGAGGTTATCACTGCTTGGGGACGCAACAATCTTGTACAGTTCAATGCTTCCAAAACACAGTACTACTAACCTTAGGCAGTTCAAAAATCGTATTAACAAAATTTCTTTGGGATCATCATAGCAGCCGCGGTGTTCCGGCATTTAGGCTTCTGCCTGCGCGGCTGCTTCGATATAAAAAAAAAAATCAGTATCACTAGAGACCGCTTCGATGAGACACGATACTTTGATATGTTGAAGGGTGGAAGTCAACTGTCTGACCATTGACGAACAATGTCAAGATATCGCTGAAGCAGAACCGGGACACGAAGGAGTTCACTTGTGTACAACAGGAAACACACGGGACCCAAAACCGAACCTTGGGAAACTCCGCTTGATACATGATGGAGAAAAGACTGGCTATCACTGACGCGCACAAGAGTTATCTCGGTGAGAAAAGGCTTCACAACAGCTCCCACCACTGAACTCGCATAGCATTAGGCCAATTGTACTTACTCTGAGCTCCCTGAGGCTGCCCGTATCCTCCAGCGAGTCTTCCGAGCTCCTCCTCGACGACATGTACCTCGCCGCCGACCTGGGCGTCCTCACAGCTGAACCGCCGCCCACGCTGCTAAGCGCCGCCCCCACCGCAACCGCGGCTGCCCCCACCACCGGAGAGTCTTGCCCCGCCCCGGCCAGCATGTCGAACTGTCGATCGGCGTTTTCTTCTTGCTCGCGCTGTTGCCGCTCCAGCTCGCGCATACGTATTTCTCGCGCTTCGGCGCGCGCCTGTCTTTTCGCCCATAGTCGTGCTTCCGCCTGAAACAACAAGATGTACGTGTTGAATAAATTACAAAATAAAATATACAGGGTGTCCGCAAAGTTGGGGTTTTCCTTTTCAGAAACAACTACCCTATAAATAACAAAGGTAATGTGTAGTGAAACGAGGGCGACCAAGTAAAAAAAAATAAAGGAAAAAGTACTCACTCTCCAGTTGACGAGAAGGGCTAAGTACGTCTCTGCCCGAAATCATACCGCTCCGAAATGAAATGAAATCAGCTGATGCGCTACCGAGCAGACGCAGAAACCACATTGATTGTCTTACACTTAATGGCACATCTTCTAACAAGGAAGGCAAAATGTTGCGTAAAAAGTCTAGGTATTGCATCCCGTCCAATCGATTTGGGAGAATAAATGGTCCAATGAGTATACCGTTCACCATGCCAGCCCAAACATTCACCGAAAATGTTTGTTGAAAATGTGCCCGACGGACAGCGTGCGGATTTTCTACTGACCAAACATGAGTGTTGCGAAAGTTATTCACCCCATTACGCGTGAACGTAGATTCTTCTGTCACTAATATGCACTTCAAAAAGTCCGGATTATTGTCATATTGATGCAACAGCCACTCACAAAACCGCACTCTTGCTGAAAAATGGTCAGGTTGAAGGGCTTGTACACGTTGGACGTGAAACGGATACAGCCCCTCTTCACGCAGCGTTTGCCACACTTTATTTTTTGATACTTGCACCTCTCTAGCCACGTCTCTAGTGCTTGTTGAGGGATTCTCGTCTACGCGATTATCTCTACACGCGTGACCGTAACCGTCGGTTGAAGGTTGCATACTGACCTGACACACTGACCCCGACCCACTTGTACCAGTCGGTGATATCGTGGGTCGCGGCTACAGGACGGTATTCAGATATTTTTGATGTTGCAGAGCCGTTTATCTCGGTTCCCTTAAGACATTGGTGTATATGGTACTAAGAAAAATTGCTTATGTTTTCAAGATCTACACGTCGTGTCAAGGAAAACCCCAACTTTGCGGACACCCTGTATTTTCTACAAATTGGATTAAGAGAAATTAAGACAGTCCAATTGTACGAAAAAATCCGAACCAGTTCATGTTATGGATTTTCTAAAATGAGGCACAGCCTAGGTAGAACTGTAATATGTAGATGAAACTTATGGTTAACAACAATTTTTTCTCATTTTTCCTTTCGTGTGTTGAGAAAAATCTGAGCTCATATCCCTTTTCCAAACCTTCCAATATGTTCGAAGCTGCATCCTACATAATATTCTACAACAGTGTATGGCAAGAAACAAACACTGGTCAGTTTTAGCTTGGATTTTGAATGAAAACAAACAACGAAAATGTTTAATAACGATTTGCTTTTCATCAGTACAAAGCTCTTGGAACCTTGTAGGCGTATTTTAAAAAAATAGTCATGTATAACTTTTTACGGCTGAAAATAACTTACGTATCTCCAAACGCAACAAAAAACCGAACTGGCACTGCACACCATTTCCGATTTACTGAAAGTCCTAATTCGCACCTAATGTATCACAGTATCAACTTTCTTAAACTTAATCGTACACACACACTGGTAATTTCCTTTTAATTACATGTCGTGCAATAAGTATCAATAAATAGAACATTTTCAAGAATTGCCAACAAACTATTAGCGGTAGATGTAAACCAAGTGTTTGGTGAAGGAACTTCGTCGTTTCGAACAGGTGAACACTGTAGTTTTCAGATTTAAGGCGCCTCAATGATCATTATGCTGTTTTGTTGCAACGTTCACCGGATTTCCTTATAATACAGTCAGCTGGGATAACAAATAAACGTAAAGTCGCTGTCGTCAATACAAAAAGGGTTATATACGGAACAAATTAGTCCTTTTTACAAAAAAGTTGGCTACGAACATGTAACAACAAGGGAATTGAATAGATCACGTCATCTCAAGTTTTAAGGGCCATAGTGAATATGCATTTAAACGAAAAATATGCCTTTTGTTATTAGCATTATTTACCTTTTAGTGATATTTTCTAATATTTTCAAAAAGGGTTATTTTATTCTGATAAACAAAAAATAATTCCAGAAAAATTAGTTTAAAAAAATCAAAATTTAAGGGATTTCCATTAAAAGTTTCTTTGGCCTAAATTTTAGGTTAAGAACAAGATATCGAGATGCGATTTTCGCGAGCTCATTTAGCTCCTTTAGCTACTTTTTCATAAAAAAAAATCATACCAACGCATTTAATTTTTTTGAGAAAATTAACCAGTTCAGTCGGAATGTAGAAAAGCTCTCTAGCGGCCATACGTGAAACTAAAAAAACCTCAAATATTATAACATTTGTAGCACAAGAATAGCCGTTTCGAAGATACAGGATGTTTTTTACGGAAACCTTTGAGTACCCCCACCACTTTATTTTTAGAGATACATAATAAATTATCAAACAAAAAAGATTCACATTATCCTCGAATTTCAAGGTATTTTTTTGTTAGGTTAATATGGCGGAATTCACAGAAACATCACTTTTTTAGATCCATAACTGTAGTTACGCCACCTAGCGGCCATTTCAGAAACTTAAGACAAAGTTTATTTTGTCAAAATTGACTCCCATAAAGATTTTTTACATCCTAATAAAAATTAATTACGACCTAAAAATGAATTAATATTTCAAAAATATTGAGTAACGTCTTTTGTAGAGGTTTTGGTGTTCTTTGTTTTTGATATTGAGTCGCCTGTGCATTGATTTTGAAAGAAAATGATAGCAACAGGCAGACGGTTGATTATTATTTTCGTAATATATAAAAAACGACTATACTATAACGTACACGGCGAAGAAATAGGAACAATGAGCGCGTAATGCAATCTAAATTTTATGTAAAAGTGCTTACCGGAGTGAGCCGGAAAACGGGAACTACGCTATATATTTTATCTTAGAAACTGGTCTGAATTTTAAACCATACAGTGACATTTAATTAAAGACAATTCTACACTTTTAGTACATTGTACAGCCACATCATTATACGATACTACTTCATTTTCTTTAACAAGGAAAAACGAAAAGGTAAATTTTTCCCTACAAATTCGTATGATATCCTACGAGTAAAATTTCTCGGTTTGCTTTTCAAAATCTACAAAGCTTTTTCGTCTTTGAGTTTGTTAGGGGCCGTATAGTGGGACTTCGGGAAGCTGGACTTTCTTTTCGGGCAATTGCAGTTAGAGTGCAAAGAAGTGTAGATACTGTGGTTAGGTGTTGTCAGGCATGGCTTCGAGAAGGCCGTACGCAAAGAGCAAGGGGCACTGGACTTCGCCGTAGAACAACAGACAGACAGATTATTGGCCTTAAGGGACCGTTTCTCCACTACCAGGTCCATTGCAAATGAATGGTTTGCAGAACACGGAAGACCTATTGGCATGCGAAGTGTTTACCGACGAATGAGAAGTTTTGGCTTGTTTTCATACCGGCCACACTGGGTCCTCCCTTTAACTCGAGAACACCGACGTAATCGCCTTAAGTGGTGCAGACAACGGTCACTCTGGGATCAGGAATGGAACAGTATTGTCTTTAGTGACGAGTCTCGATTTTGTTTAGGGATGCACGATGGTCGTGCCAGGGTTAGAAGGCGACGTGGTGAAAGGAGGAATCCACAGTTTTTTGTTGAAAGACATGTTCATCACACTGTTGGAGTTATGGGTTGGGGTGCTATAGCTTATGGTTCCAGGTCACCTTTAATCTTCATCAGAGGTAACCTGAACGTGCAGCGTTATATCCACGAAGTTCTAGAATCCCATCTTTTACCCTATCTTGACACCCTGGCAGATCCAACTTTCCAACAAGATAATACCCGACCACATGTTGCAAGAGTCACAATAGACTTCGTTCAACATAATGATGTCACATTGTTACCATGGCCACCAAGATCTCCCGACTTATCCCCAATTGAGCACGTGTGGGATATGATGGGTAGGAGATTGCTCAATTTGCAACGTCCTCCTCAGACTCTAGAAGCACTTCGAGAGGAGTTGGTGGTTGCCTGGAATGAGATACCACAGGAGGACATTGACCGCCTGATCAGAAGCATGCCTAGGCGCGTTGGAGAATGCGTAGCACATCAGGGTGCATCCACACATTATTAAAGGTCAAAGGGCTTTAAAGCAGTGCAATCATTTTGAAAGTTTTATCATTTACTTATTATGCTTCATTAAGTACTTATACAAAATTTTATTAAAATAAAACCATTTAAACTGGGTGTTCGGATTTATATGTCACTTAGTATATATGTAAAGGAATATTCTCATTGAATTTCATAGCTGAACTAAAAAATTAATAACATTGTTTTTCTCGTCTCTATTCACACCATGAAACATCGGGAAAAGTATTGAATACTGCTTCAAATATACTGTTGAAGAAAAAAAGGGCGTCCGACCTTAATTAATAATTAAAAAATTAAGATTTACAATAACAGTACCTCCAAAAATGCTTTGGGATTTTAATAATGAAGAATATTTAGAAACTTTGGCGACATCGAAATTTTCTTTTTGTCATATCATTTTCCAGGGTCGAAATGGCATATTCTTCAAATATTAAATCTAGTACATCTCAAAAATTACCAACTTTAGAGACAAGTTCATAATCTTTTTTTGTTCAGATTGACCCAAAAATACTGGGCATAAAAAAACAATATTTGCAAATTTAAAGAATAAATGTTGGACACAATTTTGGGCCTGGCAACATGCAGGTTCGTTAAAAGATGTCCTTTTTATCTGAGATTTTGCAAAAAAAACAAATCAGAATATTTTCTCGTTCCTGGATTAATGTTGGAGTCATGTTTATTTCGAGAAGTCGACAAGTCGGAAACGGGGGTTAAGCCAAGTTATCAGAAAAATATAAAAAGTCGTGTACTTTTCAAATATAGGCTTTAAATAAATCGGAAACCTACACCTTGTCATGATCTTTCAGTCCCCATTACTACAAATTTCAATTTTTTTCTTAGACGGAATGACGAACACTGTCATTCTACGTAGTGACAGCAAGACCGATAGTAACGCTACCTTTAAGGCTCATCTGTGACCGTGTAAAAATGTCAGCTCTAAATATGTATACACACCAGTCTGAAGAAATCTTGAAAAAAATATTCTTCGAGACAAAAGGTGATAGACCTATTTTGACTTGGCCTATTCCCCGTTCCCGGCTTGACGACTTCTGCGACACTCGGTAGATATATTGCGGAGGCATGATAAAAATATAAAATAACAATACCTCATCACTGGTAACGCCCATATACGAATATCTGACGTCACTATCATCGTACGCCTCGGTGACATCATCAACACAAACACGCGAAACATCTGGCGTTGGAAATAACGCATCCTTAGCCGTAGTATAAAAAACGTCACTAGTCTCCAGGAATCCCGAAGATTCAACCATCGGGTTCTCAAAGGCACCCTTACGGACCCGTGGGGCATCCAAGTCCTTAAAGCCTTCCTCCACGTCGTCACTAGTGCACTCCGCACAGATCAATGGTATCTCATCACTAACATCCCTAAGAACTGTTTCTCGACTATTTAAGTCGAGCATAGGACTATTTTCTCGACCGTCTAAGTATTCCTTAGGGTCTTTCTCCAGGTTCTCACTAGCAACCGAATTGATTGGAAATTCGGGAATTCTTTCTCGACTATCCAGGTATTCCTTAGGGTCTTTCTCCAGGTTCTCACTAGCAACCGAATTGATCAGCAATCTGCTATCATCAGGAATTCTTTCTCGACTATCCAAGTTCTCCAGGTTCTCACTAGCAACCGAATTGATCAGCAATCTGTTATCATCAGGAATTCTTTCTCGACTATCCCAGTTCTCCAGGTTCTCACTAGCAACCGAATTGATCAGCAATCTGTTATCATCAGGAACTCTTTCTCGACTATCCAAGTTCTCCAGGTTCTCACTAGCAACCGAATTGATCAGCAATCTGTTATCATCAGGAATTCTTTCTCGACCATCCAGGTATTCCTTAGGGTGTTTCTCCAGGTTCTCACTAGCAACCGAATTGATCAGCAATCTGTTATCATCAGGAATTCTTTCTCGACCATCCAGGTATTCCTTAGGGTGTTTCTCCAGGTTCTCACTAGCAACCGAATTGATCAGCAATCTGTTATCATCAGGAATTCTTTCTCGACTATCCAAGTTCTCCAGGTTCTCACTAGCAACCGAATTGATCAGCAATCTGTTATCATCAGGAACTCTTTCTCGACTATCCAAGTTCTCCAGGTTCTCACTAGCAACCGAATTGATCAGCAATCTGTTATCATCAGGAACTCTTTCTCGACTATCCAAGTTCTCCAGGTTCTCACTAGCAACCGAATTGATCAGCAATCTGTTATCATCAGGAATTCTTTCTCGACTATCCAAGTATTCCTTAGGGTCTTTCTCCAGGTTCTCACTCGCAACCGAATTGATCAGCAATCTGTTATCATCAGGAATTCTTTCTCGACTATCCAAGTTCTCCAGGTTCTCACTAGCAACCGAATTGATCAGCAATCTGTTATCATCAGGAATTCTTTCTCGACTATCCAAGTTCTCCAGGTTCTCACTAGCAACCGAATTGATCAGCAATCTGTTATTATCAGGAATTCTTTCTCGACTATCCCAGTTCTCCAGGTTCTCACTAGCAACCGAATTGATCAGCAATCTGTTATCATCAGGAATTCTTTCTCGACTATCCCAGTTCTCCAGGTTCTCACTAGCAACCGAATTGATCAGCAATCTGTTATCATCAGGAATTCTTTCTCGACTATCCAAGTATTCCTTAGGGGCCCTGTTCCGCGCATCCAGGTGCTTCTCAGATCCTTTCTCAATATCGTCACTGTCGACAGACATTTCACTTATTTCGGCGTACTTTACACTGTTCGCTGTTCGGTTATCACCAGCACATCCACTCGCATATTGTGTACAGATAAGATGGATATTAGGATATTGCTTTTTTCGTACGGAGTGAACGGAAAAAGTGTATAATCTACACTTGTTTTGGTATTATTGGTATGCTGCTGTGTATTAGGTGTCGGTTTTCCGTATCAATTGCTGAGGTACGATAAAAAAAATCGTGGACAGGGGCGTATTGCTGCGGGCAGCGGGAACTACACATGTCAGCGGCGTATCGCGACATTCTTTGTTGCACAAAGTTCAATAGAATGTCACAAGTAAATTAGTGAGTTTCATATAAATACTGCTAGTTGCACTTGCATATAATGACTTGTGTAAGCATAGAAAATATCTTTAACACATTTTGCATGCAAGTACAACCCTGAAGCAGAAGAAATATTTCTATTATCACAGCCGACGTCAAGTACGAGCCGTGATGAAAGAAAGGCAACACCGCGCTCGGACTGCATGGTAGTGCTACCTGTAACGTTCAAGAACTAAATTTAATTTTGGAAAAGAGGCCAGTTCGATTCGATACAAATCGTCTGAATATGAAATAACTCTAAAAAATTTAAAAATACGAAATAATCGTGATATATATGAATCGCTAATGCAGTTAACCTAATTAAAAGTATTTAGTTTACGTGTTTTGGTGTCAGCACACTGTGTTACAACAGGCCCAGCTTGGAAATGTGGAGTTACCTGTTTGTTTTTAATACATTTACTTTCAGTTTTACTGTTATTTTTCAATATTACATAATCATTCAAAATTATGTTTGAAAAAATAGACAAAAGCTTAGATAAAATATCTGCATAATTGCGGCCACAGATGCAAGTTAAAGAAAATTCACTGTATATAAAGTCAGACTGAATGCTGAGCAAGGTTAACTGACACAAAATAAAATTTTGATTATTGCTTTCCAAGAAGAAAACTTCAAATCCACATTTTTGAACTAAATTTATCACATGTTCAACCAAAGGTGTCATGTCATGTTTCTCACTCAATATCTTCAATGAATTGGTTGAAAATTTCTGATCTTTTCAAATACAACTTTGTTACATTTGTCGTAAAAATATTAAAAACTTCTGTTCCCGTTTATCTTATGCAAAAGCTTGTTCGTAGGAATTTAATTCACAATTTGAATACGCGCAACATTAATCTCCTGACAATGCCACAACATAGGACAGCCATTTTTCAACGGTCTTTTACGTATAATGCGGTGAAATTGATCAACTCTTTCGAACAATGTTTCATCAGCAACTTTTCTAAAAAAAAATATAAAAACTACTTATTGAGCTCTTAGGTTATTGTCCTCTCTTTGAATCGTACGTATTATGTTTTTTGTTCTAATCGTACGCATTATGTCATATTTATTAATTCTTCTTTTACTATTATTCTTCTTTTTCCTTTTCTTTTTCAGTTTTTTTTTTTTATTTTATTTTGAAGGTAGTAATAAGCATTGACATTTATGGTTAAGTATAAATGGCCATTGGCCAGACTTCGCCATTTGTAAGGATACATAATTATATATGTGTTACAAGTCCATTGAATTGAATTGAATTGAATTTCATCACCTGTTAGATTTGAAACTGGTAGTAATTTGATAATTTGTTATGTTTCCAAATGCTGTTTAGCCTTCTCATTTTTATTTGAGGCATACCCAACAATGTTTTGTGAGCGATAGTCCAGCCTAGATGTTATATAAATTTCATCGATCATCAAAATTACAATTTTTTCTCTTGGAGCTAATTTAATTGCTATATTCGAAAGGTAGTGTTCATTATTCCTATCATTTTTTGGAGATATATCCATACTTGAGGAGATATGTTGTAAGTATCGCTTACTTGACAAAATAAAAAATCTTTTAATTAAATTATATGTTGATGATGAGTGGTTATAAAACGTAAAAGCCATTATTATTGAAAGTGATGCATATCTGTTTTTCCTGTTTTGAATTTGTCTCAGCTGATCAGCAATAATCTCTAGATTTTTTGTATATGGAAACATAACTGAGTCATTATTAATTATGGAAATCGCTGTGTCAAGTTGTTCCAATGCATTCATGATGCAAACTTCAACAGAGTTTTTGTGTTGGTTCTCAGAAAAATAGAAAAAATACCTATTTAGCAGGTTTTCTAATTGGGACCATCTGGTAATTTTGAGATCATATGGCAAAACCCACTTCAAGTCACTAAAAGAAAGCTTACATCCTTTATGAACAACCTGAACTTCCATCTGACCATCAACTATAATCTGTGTATTCAAAGTTAAGATATCATTTTCAAAATCCAATTTATGAAAATATAGCTTTCCATCAAATAATTTATTATTCCATTTCTGTGAGGCTTTAATTTTTTAAAATGAAGAATGTAATTCTTGAAAGTCTTTGATCTTATCCATATCATCGAAATTCTGGATAGCTTTTTCATGTTTCTCAATTAATTTTTGTTTTCTTTGCATTGGGTCAGTTCTTTTGGGTGCTTCAGTTTTTGAAAGATATGATGGCAAGTTTGGGAAAATGGAAGGAACAGCATTTTTTTTCAATTTTGGATATTTCAAAGGTATATTATTTTGGACTGTTCCATCCGCCAAAACTATATTTTCTGTCCTGATGATATCCGATTCTCTAAAATGAGGACTGCACACAGCTGAATATTTTGAAGGTGTCCAATTTTTTCTGGGAATTGCCATAAGCCATTTGTTTTTCAGACTTTCGGTACTTCGGAACCGAAAAGTTGAAACATAGCTTTCTGTTTTCAAAGCAGAATTATAGTTTGCATTGCATAAAGGAACACAGCAACAACGAGGCATATTGTCTGCGTCAAATACTTGATAAATGAAAAAAGAAAAATACAACCTGAATTTGCACGTTTTCAATAGTTGAAATCCTTAGCGTCCTGAGGCGCGAACAGCCACAGTCACACTTCTTAGTTTATTTTTAAAGCACAGAAGCACTACAACTGGAGTCTATTTCTCATATATTATAGTCACCGATCACTTTGAACACATACACACACTTTGAAGCTTAGAAAACAAGCTTATCTCTTAATTACAGCCTCTGGGATTTCCAAATCACAAATTGAAAAGGTTATGTTTTCTCAGCGTTTTGAGCACGAGTTGCGTCGATGCAGCAAGCAGCGGCGGGAGTAACACTACCACCTACGTTGCCAGATTTCTTTGTTCACGGCTCGTAGTTGACGTCGGCTGTGCTATTATGTATCTATCGAAGAAAGAGACTAAACCAAAACGGTGATTATTGCGTGTCAGTACGCTGATATATTTGAAGAGAGAGGGGGGCATAACTGTTATTGGGCAGAATAGGTCGAGCCCTTACACAAAACCAATGATAAACCAGAGGGTGGAGTGGGAGACGATACGACCGTGCATGTCGGCTGTCTCGGTGGCTGGCCGTACAGTACAGAGTCGGCATCAGATTTATACTGGTATTACTGTGTCAGTTTAATTTCGTAGAACTCAAAATGTCTGATACGGATACAGCTGATGAAGTTGTTGATATAAGCTGCACACCGCCTAAAACAACAGCTAAAAGGCTTCATTTGAGCGTTAGCGAAAAACAAATAATCATCAACATTTATAAATACGAAATGGCAAGGAAGGAGTGACTCAAATTTTAACAGTAATCTAGCGATCATTTTCAAAACGATTTGCAATCGTAAGATTCACTTGCATTTGGATGATTGCTAATTTGATGCGCTCATGGAATTTGATAACGATCGCGTAGAGCTAGTGCAAATAGAGTGGGTCACAAATTAAATGTGACTAACACTGATAAAAAAATATAGGAATAATATTAGCACCAAGGACGAATACTCGAAGTTAGACCTTTTTTCTAACAATACTACCGAAAGTCTGAAATAAAAAACATGCACATCAAATTCACACCCACAAGGCAGATAAGAAACTCTTAAGTCCGTTAGGTCATGGTAAGAGAAGTTTTACCTTGATGTCAAGTAGGATATATAAAAGTAATTATGCAATAACTACAAACATTTATAATTTCCTCCAAAAGCCACCCGTTTCACAGAGGATGCGTAATTTCATAACATTATAAACTTTACGGCATCTCGAAATGGCTCTCGATGAGTCACGCGACATTCATGATGTCATCTTTATATAAATTTCGCAGAATGTACGCTTGTAAAATGTAACTTTGTAGCGGAATCGCTGCAATATTTCCGATAAAACCACCCAAGAAAACAAACATTAATCGGTACTTAATGATCGTCTGACATTTATAGAGCACTTAAACGCTAAGAGCCAAACTCATAATATTGTGAGATAATGAAATAATTTTATATGTACACCATCGGTCACAAAAAGAAAGCAAGCTGTTAGAGCGGAAGGACATTGGGTCAAGTTAGGCGCGAAGATGTTGACGCGTTTTCGCGTTTGTTTCGAAATCGGCTGCGATCATTCCAAAGTCAACATGAATCTACCTTTTCCATCGGTTTTTTACGTAATAACCCTTCGGTTTTGGCCTCATGGTGACTTTGAAGTTGAGTCATTAATTTTCAGATAATGATTGTAGAAGGAAGATAAACCAAAATATGTGTGTAAAAATAAAAAAAAATAAAAAAAAAATGTTTACCTTGTTTTATAAAGTATCCTCCAGACAAGTATTTCAGTGCGGACCTGTATTTGATCGTGAGGTCTTGGAGCACCGGCATGCCGTCCCCTGTGAGGTCTTAAGTCACCTGATTCACGAGCCCGTTGTACTACATTAACAAAGGCACGAGGGGTTGGTTGCACTCAATTGGGAAACCGATCCGCATAAACATGTGCCATTTTTTATTTCGTTTGAGCCACGCAACAGATACTACTATTCACTCACGCGTTACCGACTGACACTGACTGTATACGTATACAACTGAATAAAATAATTGTAAAAACATCGTTCCAAATTCTTTCGCTTTTTTGTTTCCGATGCGATGAACCGATAAGGCGGATTATATCTGTTGTTGCCAAACACGAGCACATAATATTATTATTGAGACAGGGCGGTACTCAAACTTCCAAAGGGCCAGAACTTTGTTACTTTAATTTTACCAGAAAAATGGTAAAGGAAAAAAACATTTCTTTTGATCAGATCTACTCACTGTTAAAATAAATGACTTAACTTCGAAGTATAAACAAAACGTTCCTAAGAGGAAATCGTAAGTTTTAAACAGTACACCATGTGGTAGCAAATTTTTCGTCGGCATCGTTAACGGCGGTGCCAGTAGTTCGAAATTTATTTAAATGCTGCCGGTCTCCGGTCTGCGAACCTAGTTATTTACGCTCCTTTGACCTGAAAACCGCTGCCGCCGAACGAACATTCGCACAAACAGCTGCTACCGGTTGTATTTTTGTTTTATTCAAATTGCAAATTTTACCAGTCAACAGTGCTACTCGCTTACGCGTAATACGCGAAATACACTAAATGACGTAGAAAATGCAACACCGACCAGGAGTGCTGTAATTTTGAGCATACGTTTTGAAAATGGAAAAATCATTTTCTTTTATTTGCCACTATTGCACAACTGTAACACCACAATGACAAAAAAAAT